TAGGTTTCCGTGAAACCCTGGTTGAGAAACCCTGGGCTATAGTTTAGGGTTAGGTGGTATGTTGCGGTAAAGGGTTAGGATAGGGTAAAGGTATTAGGTTGAAATGAAGGGTTAGGCTGAGGTTCAGGTTTAGGAGTTATGTTAAGATAAAGCTTTGGGTTGAGGTTTTAGGGTTTGAAGGTTTAGGGCTAGTTGTGAGGTTGAGGTGAAGGGTTTGTTAAGGTTTAGGGTTAGGTGTAAGGATTAAGGTGAAGCGTTAGGGTAAGGTTTAGGTGGTAGCTTGAGGTGAAGCGTTAGGGTAAGGTTTATGTGTTAGATTAAGGTGAAGGGTTGGGGTAAGGATTAGGTGCTAGATTGAGGTGAAGGGTTAGGGTAAGGTTTAGGTGTTAGATTGAGGTGAAGGGTTAGGGCAGTGTTTCTCAACTCCAGTCCTCATGGACCCCCAACAGGTCATGTTTTCAGGATTTCCCTCAGATGAAACAGCTGTGGTAATTACTAAGGCAGTGAAACTGATCAAATCACCTGTGCAAAATAATGGAAATCCTGAAAACATGACCTGTTGGGGGTCCATGAGGACTGGAGTTGAGAAACACTGCCCTAACCCTTCACCTCAATCTAACACCTAAACCTTACCCTAACCCTTCACCTCAATCTAACACCTAAACCTTACCCTAACCCTTCACCTCAATCTAACACCTAAACCTTACCCTAACCCAGTGTTTCTCAACTCCAGTCCTCATGGACCCCCCAACAGGTCATGTTTTCAGGATTTCCATTATTTTGCACAGGTGATTTGATCAGTTTCACTGCCTTAGTAATTAGCACAGCTGTTTCATCTGAGGGAAATCCTGAAAACATGACCTGTTGGGAGTCCATGAGGACTGGAGTTGAGAAACACTGGGGTTAGGGTAAGGTTTAGGTGTTAGATTGAGGTGAAGGGTTAGGGTAAGGTTTAGGTGTTAGATTGAGGTGAAGGGTTAGGGTAAGGTTTAGGTGTTAGATTGAGGTGAAGGGTTAGGGCAGTGTTTCTCAACTCCAGTCCTCATGGACCCCCAACAGGTCATGTTTTCAGGATTTCCATTATTTTGCACAGGTGATTTGATCAGTTTCACTGCCTTAGTAATTACCACAGCTGTTTCATCTGAGGGAAATCCTGAAAACATGACCTGTTGGGGGTCCATGAGGACTGGAGTTGAGAAAACACTGGGTTAGGGTAAGGTTTAGGTGTTAGATTGAGGTGAAGGGTTAGGGTAAGGTTTATGTGTTAGATTGAGGTGAAGGGTTAGGGTAAGGTTTAGGCGTTAGATTGAGGTGAAGGGTTAGGGTAAGGTTTAGGTGTTAGATTGAGGTGAAGGGTTAGGGTAAGGTTTAGGTGTTAGATTGAGGTGAAGGGTTAGGGTAAGGTTTAGGCGTTAGATTGAGGTGAAGGGTTAGGGTAAGGTTTATTGGTTAGTTTGATGTGAAGGGTTAGGGTAAGGTTTATTGTTAGATTGAGGTGAAGGGTTAGGGTAAGGTTTATTTGTTAGATTGAGGTGAAGGGTTAGGGTAAGGTTTAGGTGTTAGATTGAGGTGAAGGGTTAGGGTAAGGTTTTAGGTGTTAGATTGAGGTGAAGGGTTAGGGTAAGGTTTAGGTGTTAGATTGAGGGTGAAGGGTTAGGGTAAGGTTTAGGTGTTAGATTGAGGTGAAGGGTTAGGGTAAGGTTTAGGTGTTAGATTGAGGTGAAGGGTTAGGGTAAGGTTTATTTGTTAGATTGAGGTGAAGGGTTAGGGTAAGGATTAGGTTGTAGTTTTTTGGTGAAACATTAAAGGTTAGAATTAGTTTGAGGTTGAGATGAAGGATTAGATTAAGGTTTAGTTGAGGGGTTAAATTAGGGTTTGGTATTAGTTTAAGGTGAAAAGTTAGGTTGAGGTTTAAGGTTAGGTTGAGGTGAAGGGTTAAGTTAAAGTTTAGGTTTAGGCTGATCTAAGAGTTGGGTTAAGGTTTATGTATATGGTTAGGTTATTTGCATCTGTGTTAGGTTGAGGTGAAAGATTGGGTAGAGGTTTAAGATTAGGTCTTAGGTTGAAGTGAAGGGTTAGGTTCAGGTTTAGGGTTAGGTCTTAAATTGAGATAAAGTAATAGGTTAAGGTTTAGGGTTATTTCTTAGGTTGAGGTGAAAGATTCGGTTCAGGTTTTGGATTAAGCCATATGTTGAGGTGAAGGCTTAGGTTCAGGTTTAGGGTTAGGTCTTTGGTTGAGGCGAAATGTTCGGTTTAGGTTTAGGATTAGGTCTTAGGTTGAGGTGAAAGATTCAGTTCAGGTTTAGGATTAGGTCTTAGGTTGAGGTGAAGCATTAGGTTCAGGTCTAGGGTTAGGTCTTAGGTTGAAGTGAAGGATTAGGATCATGATTAGGGTTAGGTCTTTGGTTGAGGTGAAAGGTTTTGTACAGGTTTAGGGTTAGGTCTTAGGTTGAGGTGAAGGGTTAGGTTCAGGTTTAGGGTTAGGTCTTAGGTTGAGGTGAAGTGTTAAGGTTCAAGTTTAGGGTTAGGTCTTAGGTTAAGGTGAAGGTTAGATTGTACAGTGAGATGAAGGGTTAGAGTTTAGGATTAGGGTTTTAGGGTGAGATGAAGGATTAGCTCCAGGTTTAGGGTTTAGGTTTTAGGATGAGATGAAGGATTAGCTTCAGGTTTAGGGTAGGGTCTTAGGTTGAGTGAGATGAAGGGTTAGGTTCAGGTTTAGGGATAGGTCTTAGGTTGAGGTGAAGGGTTAGGTTCAGGTTTAGGGATAGGTCTTAGGTTGAGGTGAAGGGTTAGCTTCAGGTTTAGGGATAGGTCTTAGGTTGAGGTGAAGGGTTTGGTTCAGGTTTAGGGATAGGTCTTAGGTTGAGGCGAAGGGTTAGCTTCAGGTTTAGGGATAGGTCTTAGGGTGAGGTGAAGGGTTTGGTTCAGGTTTGGAGTTCAGTGTTGAGCTGAGGGTAGAATTGACATTTTGGAGCTTTGAGGTGTCAAGTAGAAGTGCGGAATGACATACGTGGGCAGAAAAATCACATGCAGTAGGAGGGTCAGTGCCAAGTACTCTTAGGTGATGCAAATTGACTTGTGCGGTTTCTTTTTGGAGCCAACATTTTCCTTTGGACATTCAGTAGATCCCCCTGATGGGACCTTTTTAGCAATGTGACGGGAGTCACTTTGGGTGGGGGGCCCATGGAAGACAGCTCACTTTGGAGAGGTGGGGAGACCCCTGTCTCTGCTCCCCATATCCCTCTTATGTTTAAGTCACCCTGTGCCTGTTAGGGGTACAGGGTGATCTGTCCTAGTATTGGGGTGGGGGGTTGTTGATTGTTTAATGCCATGTGGTTGCATCCTATTGTTCTATCGTGTGTCTTGTTTGGGTGCAAACTATTATGGAATGTTTGTGTTTATGTGTATTGGCTTGGTGGGGGGTGTCTCCAGCAGCCCTCCCTCCTGATGGGACTGTCTGCTGGTGTGTCTCTTGTTACTAAATGTAGATTGCCCCGCCCTGTGTCATTATGCAGGGAGGGGGGATTGCCCCCTGAGTGTATATATCTTGTATCTGTGTTAAAATAAAGTAGTCTACTTCCTGGTTTACTTCAAGTCTGGTGTCGTCTAGTCTTGTATGGTTGGCTGTGGTGTCTGTGGTTGGTGATCGGATGGGGAAGCGGATATCCTAACGGAGGTACCCAAGTGCAGTCTGGGGTCAGTTCCGTTACAAGCATATTTTATGATTCCCCTCTGCCAGTTATTCAAGAACACTGAACCCACGACTTTTTCCAAAAATATGTTACATTGCTGAATTATTCATGTGTTGTATGTGAGAGTGTTATGTTTAGAGGTTATAGATTGGTTTTACAAAATGTTATTAACTCCTTCCAGGCCTGCCGTTGTATATAAACGGCAGACGGTGGCAGTGCAGGGTCAGGTGGGTGTTTACAAACGGCCTCCCCGCCCCCTGCTTGTGCGCACTCCCTGGGAGCGCGCAGCACCGCGATCCAGTGCCCGCTGTGTCCTCTGGACACAGTGGAACACCGATCGTCGGACGGGACCGCTGTGCAAGGTCCCGATCATGTGATCACTGATTGGCCAATCAGTGATCACATGCAGAGTAGTAAGCAAGATATCACTTCTGACATCATTGCTTACTACGTGTGAAATCTGTGAATGATCACAGCGGTCACATGGTACAGGGCTATTCATAACAGCTTTGTACCATGTGACATGCTCTGGCCAATCACAGCTCTCACAGTAGTTCTCAATGGCTGCAAGAATGCAGCCAGAGAGAAGGAGAAATGATTTGCTTTTACAGCCGTTATGGATGTAAAAGCAATCAGCGTAAAAAAAAAAAAAAAATCTTCATCACCCCCCACAAGTAGTACAGTGTCACCATGGTGACTCTGTACTGCTAGAGTGACTATATGCAAAAAAACACAAAACACATAAATAATAATATAAAAAATAAAATAAAAATGTAAAAAAAATGTTTAAAAATTATAATTTTTGGTTAAACTAATTTGGGTTATTTTTGTTTGCTAAAAAGATAACAGAATAAATTTTGGCCAAGATTTATGAAGAAAGATTATTTATTTGCTAAATTTTTAAGAAAAACACTTTCTTTCAAAATTTTTGGACATTTTCATTTTATATATAGCAAAAAAAATTTAAATCCCAGTGGTGAATAAATACCACCAAAATAAAGCTTTATCTGTCTAAAAAAAAATGCTGAAATATTCATATGGGTACAGTGTTGCATGACCGCGCAATTGTCATTCAAAGTGTGATAATGCTGAAAGCTGAAAATTGGCCTGGACTGGAAGGGGGGGTGAAAGTGTCTGGACTGGAAGGGAAAATGTCCGGACTGGAAGGGGGTGGAAGTGTCCGGACTGGAAGGGGGTGGAAGTGTCCGGGACTAGAATGGGGGGGTGAAACTGTCCGGACTGGAAGGGGGTGACTGGAAAAGTGTCGGACTGGAAGGGGGTGGAAGTGTACGGGGGGAAAGTGTCCGACGGAAGGGGGTGAAAGTGTCCGGACTGGAAGGGGGGGGGGGAAAGTGTCCGGACTGGAAGGGGGGTGAAAGTGTCCGGACTGGAAGGGGGGAAAGTGTCCGGACTGGAAGGAGGGTGAAAGTGTCCGGACTGGAAGGGGGTGAAAGTGTCCGGACTGGAAGGGGGGAAAGTGTCCGGACTGGAAGGGGGGTGAAAGTGTCCGGACTGGAAGGGGGTGTGAAAGTGTCCGGACTGGAAGAAAGCGTCCGGTGGAAGGGGGGTGAAAAGAGTGTCCGGACTGGAAGTGGGGGGAAAGTGTCCGGACTGGAATAGGGAGGATGAAAGTGCCCGAGGACTGGAAGGAGGGGGGAAAGCGGTCCGGAAATGGGGGTTTGTCCGGCTGGGAAGGGGGAAAGTGTCCAGCACTGGAAGGGGGGGGGGGAAAGTGTCCGGACTGGAAGGGGGGTGTTGAAAGAGTTGTCCGGACTGGAAGGGGGGTGAAAGTGTCCGGACTGGAAGGGGGTGAAAGTGTCCGGTACTGGAATAACTGGAAGCCAGGGTGAAAGTGTCCGGACTGGAAGGGGGTGAAAGTGTCCAGACTGGAAGAGGAGGGAGAGTGAAAGGTGTCCGGGGGAAGGGGGGTGAAAGTGTCCCGGACCGGACTGGAAGGGGGGGAAAGTATGTCACGGACTGGAAGGGGGGGAAAGTGTCCGGACTGGAAGGGGGGGGGAAAGTGTCCGGACTGGGGAAGGGGGTGAAAGTGTCCGGACTGGAAGGGGGGGGGGGAAAGTGTCCCTTGGACTGGAAGGTGGGTTACTGGTGAAAGTGTCCGGACCTGGAAGTGGGTGAAAGTGTCCAGACTGGAAAGGGGGGTTCGGACTTGAAAGTGTCCGGACTGGAAGGGGGTGAAAGTGTCCGGACTGGAAGGGGGTGGATGAAAAGCGGTCGGACTGCAAGTCCTCGGACTGGAAGGGGGAAAGTGTCCGGACTGGAAGGGAATGGGGTGTGAAAGTGTACTGGGACTGGAAGGGGGGAGAAAGTGTCCGGACTGGAAGGGGGTGAAAAATTGTCCGGACTGGAAGTGGGGTGTGAAAGTGTCCGGACTGGAAGGGGGGGAAAGTGTCCGGACTGGAATGGGGGGGGGGGAAAGTGTCTGGACTTGAAGTGGTTTAAGGGAAACTAGTGCCAGGTCCTGTATCAGTCCGATCTGCACCAACCTATATGTAGGGAAGGTGAGGGTAAAGGACAGTAATGACACATTTCATGAAGAGGGGACGGCTATGATGACGAGCAAGGAGGGAGGGAGCTGTGCTAGGAACCTGACTCTCTTCCTGGAATGATCAATTGTTATAGTAAGTTTGCAAATGAATATAAAAAAAAAAATGATGGAAATGAAACACGCTGCAAGTAAGCATTTACATTTCTGTACTTTTTACCTGCAATGGTTTAAGTTGGTGACAGGGTCTCTTTAACATGTCTGTGTGTTGTCTCCATTGCTCAGGACTGCCCCTGCTGGATGAGGAGAGTACAGACATCCCAGAACTGCTGCACACACCCTCCATGGGGCGCTCGGACCCCGTCTCCCTGGAGCAGCTGGTACACCAGGCTGTGATGAAGAAAGATTTCCTGGGTCAGGAGAGCTTCTTTGCAGGTGAGAGGTGGTGTGCTGCGCCTGGTGATGGGGGGTTTAAAAGCAAACCTGTCCTTATGGAAATTAACAATTGATATGTAACATTGGCATACCTTATTTTAGACTCAGTATTGTCGGCGCTGGGTCTCTGTGCTCTTCTATGCAATGCAGGCTGATTATGGCTGGTGGGAGGGGCTAGCAGTGTGCTGTCCATAGCTTCCTGAATACATCACAGTACCCAGTACTCCTAGCAAGAGTCCTCAGCCCTGATGGAAGCAGTGGGCTGGCTCTTGGGAGGAGTTAGGCAAATATGAAAACACCTTGATGGGTGGGTGTCAGTTGTGTGCAGGAGTGGGCGCTGCTAGGCAGGCTGGGAAGGAATAAAGTCATTTTGAAGGATTTTTTTTTTTTTTTACCATCTATGTCCCATAGGGAGACTTCCCTTCACTTCCTGTGCCATAGACACAACAGGAAGTCAGAAGAAACCCCTCCAAAGTGAGGGAATCTTTACAATGAATGTCCCCATCAGAAGATTTCCCCTTTACTCCTGTTCTGGTGACAACCCAAAACCCCCCTGTCTCCCCCCACGCTCTCACCTCCCCCCCCTCTCACCCCCCCTTTCAGCCTCCTCTCCCTCTCCCTCCCCTTTCGCTACCCCTCTAACCACCCCTCTCCCTCACCCCTTCTCTCTCTCTCACCTCTTTCATTGTCCCCCCCCCCTTTCACCCCCTTATCTCTCACCTCCCCCCCCCTTTCCCTCACCCCCTTCTCTCTCCCCTCCTCTTTCATTGTCCCCCCTTTTTCACCCGCTTATCTCTCGTACCCCCCCTCCACCCTTCCTTTCTCTCTTTCATCCCACCCGCACTCCCACATCCCGCTTTCCCTTACACTCCTCTTTCACTCTCCCCCTCTCTCACAGCCCCCTTACACCCCTCTCTCTCACCCTCCTCTTTCACCGCCCCTCTATATTACCCCCCTTCTCCCTTCCCCCCCCCCCCCTCACACCCCCTCCTCTCCTCACCCCCTCTTTCATCCTCCCCCTCTCTTTCTCTCCACGCACCCCCTCTCTCTCTTACGCCCCGCTCTTTCTCTCCCCCCCTTCCCCCCTCCCCTTTCACACCCCCCCCACCCTGGGTTCTCACCCACCCCTCTTTTCTCCCCCCCCCCCCTCTTTCACGGTCCCCCTCTTTCACCCTCCTCTCTCCCCCCCCCCCGCCTCTTTTTCTCCCCCCTTTTTCTCTCTTTCACCTACCCCTCCCCTGCACTCTCCCACCCCCCTCTCTTCCCCTTTCTCTCTCACCCCCCCTTTCACTCCCCTCTGCCCCTCTCTCTCTCACCCCCCTCATTCTCTCACACCCCCTCCCTCTCCCGCTCTCTCTCTCACCCCCCTCTTTGACTCCCCTCCTCTCTTTTTACCCCCCCCCCTCTTTTTATTCCCCTCTTTCTCTCTTTCCCCACCCCTTTCCATTCTCCCCCCCACCCTCTCTCACCCCCCCCTCCTCTCTCCCCCCTTTCCCCCCCCTTTCACTCCCCCTCCCCCCCCCCTCTCCCTCCCTCTCCCCCTCTCTCACCCGCCCTCTCCCTCTCACACCCCCTCCCTCTCTCATCCCCCCCCTCTCACACCCCCCCCCCTCTCTCATCCCCCTCTCTCTCTAACCCCCCTCTCCTCACCTCTCTCTCTTCTCTCACCCCCCCCCCTCTCCTTCTCACCCCCTTCCTACATACTTTTGCTAACAGGGGTCCCTCATTCCCATCTCAAAATTTTGGGAGGAATGCACACAGGATAAATAGAGAGGATGAATCTCCCAGACGGGGGCACAGACGGGAATAAAAACCCGCTAGAGGTTCTAACCCTTACACTATATCCAAAACTAAAACAAAAAACAAGTTTTCCTTTAGTTATAATTTAATGTCTGATTGATTGTTATGGAATGGGGCCTCTGGGGGAAGGCATTGTATTAGATATGCTGCTGGGGACCTGAGGAAGCGCAGTTAGCACATGAAACGCTGTGTTGTGCTATGATATATCTCATTATATGCAGGGGCAGGAATCATGCAGAGGGGTGGGATCTGACATGCCCCCCCCTAGCCATTCTTCTTGCCACCACTTGTCTCAGGAACAATCATACACCTGGGGGTAAGGGGTGGCTCTCATGCAGATGTCTCCTTGCTAGCTACGTTGTTGGATGGCAGCAGGGGAAGGATCTCATAGCTTGGCATTCAAAGCATCCCCACTATCACTCCCTACTATACCCCCGCCCTTTTATATACGTCTTCTGGTCTCTATGAAATGTGTGAAAGTAGATGTAAACCTAATCACTGAGACCTCATATAAATATTAACACGTCTATTATGATTTTTTAACGGCCATTTCAATATATATTCAGTTTGGTGCTTTCATTAAAAAAATCCTGCCATGGAGGCCCTGGTTCAGGCACTACCTGTTAGAGGGTGACAACTGTCTCCCAAATGTGCAACTGTGTTGTCACCTTGTCATATGAGCTTCAAATAAAGACTTCCAATAAAGATCAACAGGAAACCCGCTCTGATGCCATGCGGCCACCACTGGTGTGCATGTAAGCAGGAAGTGGCTGCAAAGGGGTTGCAGGAGATCAGCAAGTTTGCATCTACTTTTAAAACATCTCTATATTGTATAACTAGGTATGTGACCTGTTTACTGGAATTAATATAATGTATGTTTGCTTTAATTTGGATTTATTCTTCTGTCTGTACAGTCGGCACAACCTCCATCCCCACCCTGGGTGCTCCCGTGGCGTTAACCGACGACCTGGCTCCGGCAGGGGTCAGCGAGACCTCCGGGGTCCTCACCACAGCCGTCGGTGGGGCTTTCTCCCTGCCGCCACCTCTCAGTACCCTGACCCCTCCATCACCGGCGCCCACAGGAGGCCCGGGGCCCTCTGCCGAGGGGGAGGAAGAGACGACCACCACCCTGATCACTACCACCACTGTCACCACAGTACTCACAGCCCCGGTGAGAATTATTATGATCTGAGTTATATTTATATGGTTGTGACATCATCACTTTCAAATGTCTCTAGGAATAAAAGCTACACTATATTGCCAAAAGTATTGGGCCTGCCCCCCAAATCATGTGATTCAGGTGTTCCAATCCCCTCCATATCATGTGATTCAGGTGTTCCAATCCTCTCCATGGACACAGGTGTATACAATCCAGCCCCTAGGCATGCAGACTGCTTCTACAAACATTGGTGAACGAATGGGCCGCTCTCAGGAGCTCAGTGACTCCAAGCGTGGTCCCGTGATAGGTGGCCACCTGGCAATAAGTCCATCCGTGACATTTCCTGGCTACTAAATATTCCACGCTCAACTGTTAGTGGGATTATAACAAAGTGGAAGCAACTGGGAACAACAGCCACTCAGCCACCAAGTGGTAGGCCACGTCACATGACAATTTCATGCTGGTACGTTAATTGGATCCTGTCTAGATTGTCCCTAGTATGTGAATGTATGAATGTGAGTTAGGGACCTTAGATTGTACGCTCCTCGGGGGCGGGGACTGATGTGAATGTACAATATATATGTAAAGCGCAGAGTAAATTGACGGCGCTATATAAGTACCTAAAATAAATAAATAAATAACATACAGGTATGACATCACTGCTATTCATGTATCATTTATATCTCGCACTGACATTATTCCTTCATGTGATATATTTATATTGTCCGTATTTCTCCTCTACTTCCAGTTCTGTGTAACAACAATATTTCGGAGCTGGAGGGTATTTTGGAGGCTCCGGAATACTCTGGTGGAAGTTTCTTCGGTGGTCTGGACTGTACATACAGCGTGTCCGTGTACCTGGGCTATGGAGTGGAGATTCGGGTGAGTCTCGTGGCTGACACCCTTCTCTCTATGAACTGGGTGTGCAAAGGGAAATGTGCCAAAGGCAGAACGTATAAAGCCCAAATGAATCTGATCAGACTTTTGTATCACAAACATCCAACTCGTCTCAGGGGTTGAGGGTCCCCCTTCCTTAGGGGTTGGGGGTCCACCTTCCTCGGGTGTTGAGGGTCCACCTTCCTCAGGGGTTGGGGGTCCACCTTCCTCAGGGGTTGGGGGTCCACCTTCCTCCGGGGTTGAGGGTCCACCTTCCTCAGGGGTTGAGGGCCCCCCTTCCTCAGGGGTTGGGGGTCCACCTTCCTCAGGGGTTGAGGGTCCACCTTCCTCAGGGGTTGGGGGTCCACCTTCCTCAGGGTTTGAGGGTCCACCTTCCTCAGGGGTTGGGGGTCCACCTTCCTCAGGGGTTAAGGGTCACCCTTCCTCAGGGGTTGGGAATCCACCTTCCTCAGGGCTTGAGGGTCCACCTTCCTCAGGGGTTGAGGGTCCCCCTTCCTCAGGGGTTGGGAATCCACCTTCCTCAGGGCTTGAGGGTCCCCCTTCCTCAGGGGTTGGGAATCCACCTTCCTCAGGGGTTGAGGGTCCTCCTTCCTCAGGTGTTGAGGGTCCACCTTCCTCAAGGGTTGAGGGTCCCCCTTCCTAAGGGCTTGGGATTAGTGAACGAAGCATGTACTGGACTGATGAACCTAGAGGCATCCAGACGGGTCGCTGCAGATACTGCCTTGTCAGTGGGAGCAATCTCTGATGCCTAGAATGTCACACTGACACATTACATGCTGCGCTTCATAAAAAAAAAAAATAGAAACAAAAAAAACAAAAACAAATCAAATTAAAATTTGATATATTATGGCTGCTATGGTGGTTGGGATTTTTCTTATGTTCTTATGGGGGGGGGTTGTATGTATGTTACTAAACCCACGACAGTACAATCAGTCTGTAGATGTAGTAAAGCATGCTTGTTATACTCACTGCGGAACCTAAGGGGTTAATCCTCCGCACTGTGTAAAAAGGCTGCTTGATCTGGTCTTCTCTGATCCTCCCCTTCTTCTACTGTCCCCAATCCATCTGCTAATAGAACAGAGCCTGGGGGGGGGCAATCTACACATGCTCAGTTTGGTGTGTACTGCTAGTGAGGTTTTTTTTTTTTCTTGGGAGAGTGCTTATGATCAGTACAAGGCCTATCAGCACTGTCCAGACAGAGGGTTAGGGGGTTATGCAGCCTCATAGGACAGTCATAGGAGAATGAAAATTCCTCCTACAAGATTAACCAGTGCTCAGCCAGACACTGATAGAAGTCACAAGACTGCTATATACTGCTGATGAGAAAAGGTATTCAGCAGTTTATGTTTACTAAAATGATGGCATTTTCAGGTTGTGTGTACTGTGGGAGAGTGGATATAGTGAATGCGGGGTCCGGGGAGAGCGGATATAGTGAATGCGGGGTCCGGGGAGAGCGGATATAGTGAATGCAGGGTCCGGGGAGACCGGATATAGTGAATGCAGGGTCCGGGAGAGTGGATATGGTGAATGTAGGGTCCGGGGAGAGCGGATATAGTGAATGCGGGGTCCGGGGAGAACGGATATAGTGAATGCAGGGTCCAGGGAGAGCAGATATAGTGAATGCAGGGTCCGGGGAGACCAGATATAGTGAATGCAGGGTCCGGGGAGAGCGGATATAGTGAATGCGGGGTCCGGGGAGAGCGGATATAGTGAATGCAGGGTCCGGGGAGAGCGGATATAGTAAATGCGGGGTCCAGGGAGAGCGGATATAGTGAATGCGGGTTCCGGGGAGAGCGGATATAGTGAATGCGGGGTCTGGGGAAACCAGATATAGTGAATGCGGGGTCCGGGGAGAGCGGATATAGTGAATGCAGGGTCCGGGGAGAGCGGCGATAGTGAATGCGGGGTTCGGGGAGAGCGGATATAGTGAATGCAGGGTCCGGGGAGAGCGGATATAGTGAATGCGGGGTCCGGGGAGAGCGGATATAGTGAATGCGGGTTCCGGGGAGAGCGGAAACCAGATATAGTGAATGCAGGGTCTGGGGAAACCGGCGATATAGTGAATGCAGGGTCCGGGGAGAGCGGATATAGTGAATGCAGGGTCGGGGAGAGCGGATATAGTGAATGTAGGGTCCGGGGAGAGCGGATATAGTGAATGCAGGGTCCGGGGGGAGAGCGGGTGGTAGGGTCCGGGGGAGAGCGGATATAGTGAATGCAGGGTCCCGGGGAGAGCGGATATAGTGAATGCAGGGTCCGGGGAGAGCGGATATAGTGAATGCAGGGTCCGGGGAGAGCGGATATAGTGAATGTAGGGTCCGGGGAGAGCGGATATAGTGAATGCAGGGTCCGGGGGGAGAGCGGATATAGTGAATGCAGGGTCCGGGAGAGGGATATAGTGAATGTAGGGTCCGGGGAGAGCGGATATAGTGAATGCAGGGTCCGGGGGAGAGCGGATATAGTGAATGTAGGGTCGGGGAGAGCGGATATAGTGAATGTAGGGGGGAGAGCGGATATAGTGAATGCGGGGTCCGGGGAGAGCGGGTGAGAACCAGATATAGTGAATGCAGGGTCCGGGGAGAGCGGATATAGTGAATGCAGGGTCCGGGGAGAGCGGATATAGTGAATGTAGGGTCCGGGGAGAGCGGATATAGTGATGCAGGGTCCGGGGGGAGAGCGGATATAGTGAATGCAGGGTCCCGGGAGAGCGGATATAGTGAATGCGGGGTCCGGGGAGAGCGGATATAGTGAATGCAGGGTCCGGGGGAGAGCGGATATAGTGAATGTAGGGTCCGGGGAGAGCGGATATAAGAATGCGGGGTCCGGGGAGGATATAGTGAATGCAGGGTCCGGGAAGAGGGGATATAGTGAATGTAGGGTCCGGGGAGAGCGGATATAGTGAATGCGGGGTCCGGGGAGAGCGGATATAGTGAATGTAGGGTCCGGGGAGAGCGGATATAGTGAATGCAGGGTCCGGGGGAGAGCGGATATAGTGAATGTAGGGTCCGGGGAGAGCGGATATAGTGAATGCGGGGTCCGGGGAGAACAGATATAGTGAATGCAGGGTCTGGGGTTTAGTAACACTTGAACTTGACACACATCCAGTACTGGTCTTCCTTGCTTCCCCCAACTGGGAGCAGATCTATTGCCTTCTCGTTATCCAGGCCGGCTCTATGAAATTTATACAGTATCCTTTATGCTCAACTCAGTCTTCCTGAGGCAAACAAATTCTTAGCTAAAAGCTAATAAATTTCCCTTTACTTCCCCCTCCATTCCTCCTGGTCTGGGAACTGCTCAGGGTCCCCCCCCTTTTTTGTTTTCACTCCCTGAGCGTAATTTTTCACAGTATTTTCCCGTTTCCATGGTTTGAGAGAACAAGGTTTTTTTCATAGTAAAATGTTTTGACTCAGGCATTGTGTATTTTAGGATCATTCCCACTCATTTCCAGTATAGATGGTATTTTACCATTCTTTGTACCTAGTCTAGGTACATAGTTAGTCTGGCTGAAAAAAGACAAAAGTCCATCCAGTTCAACCATAGAACCACGTTATCGGATACTGCCAATTCAATAACATGTTGTGCCCTAACGTTGTGGTTTCTTGAGGATCTTTTGCTCACATTTGTTATATATTGGAGTGATAGCACTTGTTTTATGTAAATGCACAATGTCTAAATAAAGAATTTCAAAAACACTATGAAATCTGAGGTTCGGAAATTCTAAAATACAACAAAAAAAAAATGAAGTTTTTATTAGGGTTGTAGAATAATTGAGCATGGGAACAGTAATAATCTTGTAATAATATGAAATTAAAATAATTATACACTTTTCAAACGTTTTTTACTGAATACTAAGCCACGGTCGGTACTTTCAGACTCATAGATTCCTCCGCAGATCAGCGGATGCTCAAAAAGCGACAAAGTAAATTTAAAGGTAATTCCCAGCAGTGTTGCTCCCCGCAGGCAACTTCTACCGCCATCACTGGACCTTGGTAGTGTACTGTCTATGCTGAGAGTTCTACTGTGATCCATTTTTGATGTGGGCACCCTTTACGATCAGATACAGTTGCAAGAAAAAGTATGTGAACCCCTTGGGATTACATGGAGTTTTGCATGAATTGGGCATAAAATGTGCTCTGAACGTCATCTAAGTCACAACAATAGAAGAACACAGTCTACTGAACATAATACTACACAAACATTAGATGTTGCCATGGTTTCATTGCACATAACATGTAAACATTCACAGTGCAGGGAGGAAAAAGTATGTGAGTAGCTTAATGACTTCTCCCAGAGCTAATTGGAGCCAGGAGTGAGCCAACCTTGACTCCAATCAGTGTGATGATATTGGATGTGTTTCTGACAGCTGTCCTGCCCTTAAAAAACACACACCTGTTTTGGGTTAACTGGTTTCAAGAAGCACCGTCTGATGTGAACCATGCCTCGCAGAAAAGAGCTCTCATAAGACCCACCATCAAGAATTGTTGACTTGCATGAAGCTGGAAAGGGTTACAAAAGTATCTCCAAAAGCTTTGATGTTCATGTGTCCACGGTAAGACAGACTGTCTACAAATGGAGAAAGTTTAGCACTGTTGCTACTCTCCCTAGGCGTGGTCGTCCTGTAAAAATGACTGCAAGAGCACAGCGCAGAATGCTGCATGAGGTAAAGAAGAATCCCAGAGTGTCAGCTAAAGACCTACAGAAATCTCTGGCACATGCTAACATTTTTGTTGACACATCTACAATAAGGAAAACATTAAACAAGAATGGAGTACATGGGAGGACACCACGGAGGAAGCCATTGCTGTCCAAAAAGAATATTGCAGCATGTTTGAAGTTTGCAAAAGAGCACCTGGATGTTCCACAGCACTACTGGCAAAATATACTGTGGACAGATGAAACCAAGATTGAGTTGTTTGGGAAGAACACACAACACGTGCGGAGACAAAAAGGCACAGCACACCAACATCAAAACCTCATCCCCACTGTGAAACATGGCGGAGGGAGCATCATGGTTTGGGGCTGCTTTGCTGCCTCAGGGCCTGGATGGATTGTTGTCATTGATGGGAAAATGAATTCCAGAGTTTATCAAGACATTTTGCAGGAAAACGTACGGCCATCTGTCCGCCAACTGAAGCTCCGCAGAGGATGGGTGATGCAACAGGACAATGACCCAAAGCATACAAGTAATTCAACAAAACAATGGCTGCAACAGCACAGAATACGCCTTCTGGAGTGGCCCAGTCAGAGTCCTGACCTCAACCCCATTGAAATGCTGTGGCATGACCTTAAGAGAGCGATTCACACCAGACATCCCAAGAATATTGCTACACTGAAACAGTTTTGTGAAGAGGAGTGGTGCAAAATGACTCCAGATCGTTGTGCAGGTCTGATCTGCAACTACAGGAAACGTTTGGTTGAGGTTATTGCTGCCAAAGGAGGGTCAACCAGTTCACATACTTTTTCCTCCCTGCACTGTGAATGTTTACATGTTATGTGCAATTAAACCATGGCAACATCTAATGTTTGTGTAGTATTATGTTCAGCAGACTGTGTTCTTCTATTGTTGTGACTTAGATGACGTTCAGAGCACATTTTATGCCCAATTCATGCAAAACTCCACGTAATCCCAAGGGAGTCACATACTTTTTCTTGCAACTGTAAATTACTTTATTGTCCCAATTGATGCTACAAGACATCAGAGAGGTTGCTGAGAATCTACATTTTGCTATGGGTCCCCATGAATTATAGTGTCCTGCCAGGACGTCTTTTATAAAAACAGACATGCAGAACTTTGTGTTTGCCATTTATTACCTTTTATAGATATTTGTGATATGAATAAAGGTGCAAATTTAATATACAAATACACACATTTAGCGACAGTTCTCAAGGAGATGTATTTATGATCTGGACATATTTATAGGTGGAGAAGCTGAACTTGTCCAAAGAGGAGGCTCTGATCGTTGAGGGCGTGGAAGAAGACCACCGCTTCCTGCTAGCCAATGAGACCCTGATGGCTGAGGGTCAGGTGATCCGTAGTCCAACCAATCACATTGCAGTTCGCTTTCAAACCTATCGTGCCACCAGCCCGGGAGCCTTCAAACTGCGCTACCAAGGTGTGTCTTTCAATTTCCGGACCTGTGTTCTGCGCCATTACACTTTGCTTTATGTTCCTCTTTGATTGTATGGTTGTATCACGCGGTACCACCAGAATGTAAAATAAATGAAAACCTAATGAGTGGAGAGGGACTTTTATACTCGAGTGCAGAACGACTCAAATGTTATGTGCTTTATTGTCTTCTCAGCCTACGTCTTGAGTTGTGTCTTCCCCCCGCGACCGGAAAATGGAGAAGTCACCGTTACGGACCTCCACCCTGGAGGAACCGCCAACTTTCACTGTGCCCCCCCGGGTTCACGCTGAAGGGTGTAGACTCCCTGGTCTGTCTGAACATTACCCGTCCACAGTGGAGTGGCAAACCGCCAGTATGTGCAGGTGAGGAGGGGGCTGGGCAAGAGGTGGAGGTGGTGGAGGGTAAAGAAAAGCAAAAACAGGGCGCACTCTCTTCGTACATTACCGTGGTGAAACACGAGTTTATTTAAAAGCATAAAAGTGCATCCTCACAAACCAAAGGGGATTAAAACAGAGATAAAGAGTCAGTGGTGATGGTCCAAAGTAACGGTAGACCCTTATTGAGGTAGGTTAACGCATTTCGGGAGACGTACTCCCTTCTTCAGAGCTAAAATATAGGTCCGCTATGCATTTATGAAGCTCCCACTTCTGCCGCGATCGCCTCAGTGATCTGAAGCGGAAGTTGTCCTCCTACCCTATCTCCCCATAGTCTTGTGGGACACGTGACAGGTCCCAGAAGATGACAGGGCATTCAGGAAACGCAGCGCTACTCGCACAAGCTGTCACAGCAGGGTGCCCACACTGGAAATGCCGGCGCCTGGAATACAGGACGGCCGGTAAAACGGCCACCGTGGGACAGGTAAGGGCTGTTTTTTAAAAGTCAGCAGCTACAGTTTTTGTAGTTGCTAACTTTTATTTTTTTACAGAGTGAGTGGAACTCCGCTTTAAGGCGCATCAGCATACCAAGACATGTGGGACAATTTCATGCTCCCAACTTTGTGGGAGGAGCTTGGGGATGGCCCCTTCCTGTTCCAACATGACTGCCCACCAGTGCACAAAGCAAGGTCCATAAAGACATGGAGGAGCCAGTTTGGGGTGGAGGAAATTGACTGGCCTGCACAGAGTCCTTACCTCAAGCCAGACCTTCTTGTCCAACATCAGTGCCTGATCTGACAAATGTGCTTCTGGAAGAATGGTCAAACCTTCCCATAGGCACCCTCCTAAACCTTGTGGATGGCCTGTTTTTCAGGGGTTGGGCTTGGCTCCCTAGTTCCAGTGAAGGTGACATTTTGGACAATTTCATGCTCCCAACTTTGTGGGAAGAATTTGGGGATGGGCCCTTCTTGTTCCAACATGACTGCGCACCAGGCACAAAGCAAGGTCCATAAAGACATGGAGGAGCCAGTTTGGGGTGGAGGAACTTGACTGCTCTGCAAAGAGTCCTGACCTCAACCCCAAAGAACACCTTTGGGATGAATTAGAGCGGAGACTGTGAGCCAGGCCTCCTCCCCCGACATCAGTGCCTGACCTGACAAATGTGCTTCTGGAAGAATGGTCCAACCTTCCCATAGACACCCTCCTAAACCTTGTGGACGGCCTTCCCAGAAGAGTTGAAGCTGTTATAGCTGCAAAGGGCGGGGCCAACTCAATATTGAACCCTACGGACTGAGACTGGGGGCCATTAAAGGTCATGTACGTGGAAAGGCAGGAGAAAATATAGTGTACATACATATATATATACAGTATATATATATATGTATTAGGTATTAAATGTAACCTTTCCATTTAAATTTTCATCCAGCCAAATTCAAAATAACTCTTCCATGCAACCATGCCAAGAATACTTGGATTATAACATTTTTAGGTTACACATCAATATGTTGCTGTGATTGGCTTATGCCTTATATCTAAACCCAACATTTTTTTTTGGATAAAGTAGGGAACGGTTATAACTTCTCAGGTTTCCAGAAACCCACAGCGATGGCTGAGCAGGCCCTGCACAGACGGAATGTACATAATTCCTAATAATGTATTCTTTCCATATGTAATCCAGCAACTTGCGGAGGTGTGATACGTAACGCCACCATCGGACGCATTGTGGCCCCCGATGTCACCGCCATCCACAGCAACAACCTGAGCTGCCATTGGCTGATTGAGGCATCCGAAGGACAGCGGCTGCATCTGCATTTCGAGAGGGTCTCTTTGGATGAGGATAATGACAGGTCAGTCCCGTTCCTGACAATTCCCTCTCTTATTGCCCATTGCGCTCTGAGGATAAAGGCGCCCAGAATCTGGATAGGTTTTTTTTTAGGTAAAATAGAGGATATTTTCTGTGTTTTGAATTGTTTTATGTCGGCATCCAAAAGTTCCGTCCTACGCATTTCGTCACTAAAGAACACTTTGGAGGGTATCCTCTAGTGACGAAACGCATAGGGGAGAGTTTCCGGAAGCTGACATCATCACAAACTGTGCAGGTGGTGGCATAATTTGAAACTTTGGAAGCATTTATAGATGTGCCTTTACTAAATCACCCTTGGATGATCTGCACTTTTTAAGTATTTTTTTATATTGTGGACATCAGTGATTGGCTGGGGTACTGGAAGTGGAAGCGGTGACTGTGGACTAGTCATGAATCCTTTATGGGCACTGTAACATGCTCATGTGCATACTGACATCTACACATTTGGGTCCATCCCTCTGGTAAGTCTTTGATTTAGATGTGGTGGTGGCAAATGATTTAGCACTCACAGGGGTCTCACTCGTGTCGTAGAAATCCACAGCAAGTGGATTTGATTGGTGAAGTGACATATATGGAACTTTTTTACATCTTAGACACAGTGGTGGATGATATACCAACCAGTGTCATAACAGGAATTTCACTGTAGTATACACTGTATATATGTACTTAAAAATGTAAAAGCCTGATTTTGGCAGCTGGTTTATAAATTGCCCCCCCCCCCCCAACCAGCATGGGGATAAGGTCCTTTAGCACCCTAGGGTAAGAGGCCAAAGTGTGCACTAATCTACATGACCTGTGAACTACTTTAATAATATAGATTGCAGGTACTGCCCTTTTTGCACCCCCTCTGCTGAACTGCCCAATACAGTTGCCTGTTCTGCCTAGCCCTGCCCCCCCCCCCCTCCTTGTAGAGTATGGGTCCCTTCTTGCCTTCCCTCAAGGAAGAAAAATATATTTTAAAAATATTCTTCCCAAATATATTGCCATATATTTGAAATGCCACAATTTTGGCCATATTCAATATATTTCAAAATATATTTCAATAAATAATATATATATATATATATATATATATACTGCATGTTGAAATGCGTTTTTATTACAAAATATATGAACAATATTTTTAAAAATACATTTCTAATATACTTTAAAAATACAAATCTACATTTTTGGAATTCATTTACAAATATATGTAAAAATATATGTTAAAATTACTTTTTTATATGTTAAAAAACATCTGAAGAATGTATTTTTTAAAATGTATTTTTAAAGCTATATTTTTTAAAAATATATTCTTCAGATTTTTTCTTTACATAATAAAAAGTCTTATTAACTGAGGTACGCCTGTATAAAGATGCAGACAAGACCGCCTCCAGGTCCACGGTACTCAGCCAGTGGTGTGGGAGGCCCACATAGCATCCTAAGGCTTACGAGTTTCCAGGGTCAAACCCCTTTATATATTCTAATGCATGTCATGTCTTATATATTACAAAATATATAAAAAATGTTTTTAAAAATATATATTTTTTTAAATATATTCTTCAGATTTTTTTCAACATATAAAAAAGTCATTTTAACATATATTTTTATATATATTTGGAAATGCATTTCAAAAATGAAGATTTGTATTTTTGAAGACATACAGTATATTGAAATGTATTTTTAAAAATATTTTTCATATATTTTGTATTAAAAACACATTTCAACATGCAGTATATATATATATATATATATATATATATATATTTATTGAAATATATTTTGAAATATATTGAATATGGCCAAAATTGTAGCATTTGAAATATATGACAACATATTTGGGAAGAATATTTTTAAAATATATTTTAAATATATTTTTCTTCCATATGGGTTGGTCTCTCTTCCCTTTGCACTCTTTCTCTCACCTATCTCTCACTCTCTCTGCAGGTTAGTGATCCACTCTGGTAGCTCCACCCTCTCCCCATTGATCTACGACTCTGACAGAGATGATGCCCCAGAGCGGGGTCTGCTGAGTGATGCCCAATCCCTTTACATCGAGCTGGTCTCGGAGAACCCAACTGCACCCCTTCTGCTCAGCCTGCGCTATGAAGGTACGTCCATTTCCTAAACCTTTCTAAAGTGAAGATGGACTTTTCACCTATTGTCCTCTGATATCAGGTAGTGGGGGTTTTACTGGAGGCATCCAATTCCCATTCTCTATAATTTTCTCTGTAAAGAATGGATCCTTAAAACTAAATAAAGGTGCATATTTAGGCTCATTGTAGGCCTAATAGTTGGTGTAAACTAGTCATGGTTCTGTCCTGGTTCACATGGTTGTGTCTCACGAAACACTTTTTCTTGGAGGGTAACAGAAAAATGTGTAAATGTTTATATATATGGCCATGGACATCTTGTGGGAAGGTAATGCAATGGAAGGTGCCAAAGGGTATCATCCACACTGTATGTCTGGTGCTCCATCTTTCCCTTGACAAACTGTCCTCAATAATCTTCCTGACAAATTATAATCATCTTTAACTATTAATTTACTTCTGTACTTGTAGAATGTGCTCTGATTAGGTTGCCTTGTTTGAATGAAGGACAACTGGAAGGGTTTGGTTTATTTACAGATATGGATATACCTAGATTCTAATTACAAACGAAAGAAGAAATGGGTTAGGAGGAACATAGGTGGTGGACCATAGGCAAGGATGTTCATTCTTAGTTGTCCTGTACCGGGTGGATATCGAGCTAAACGGCGGCTTCTCATGCATCTCTTGTCCAACATCCCTGGTAGTGGGGAGGACAGAAGATGTGAGGGCATGGAGTGGCATGAGGCCCAATGCTGCAGGCAGCGCCTGCTGTTAGATGTGAGGCAAGCCAACTGTGGACCTCCTGGTAAGGATCAGCAAAACCACAGTAGCATGCGATCAGTAGACAGGAACGAAGCTGGAATACAAGCTGAAGGTCATCAACAGATGGCCACCAACTTTCTGAGTCAGAAGGCAGGAGCAGCGTCAGGATACAGCCCAAGGTTAGCAACAATAATACCAACCTCTTGCGCTTAGGTGTGGTGCTACGGAGGTGTTGGACTTTCTGCACGGCTGGCATGTAGTTATGGCACCAAAGGTCTTGCCGCCCTCACAGGACTGTTGGCATCCTTGCATTTCCTGAAAACAACAACAAAATGAGGGCGCTCCGACCTAGCGCATTACCAAATTAACATTTTATTTAAAAATATGAAAGTATTCTACACACAAACACATGACTTGTATTAGCCTATACAGGCATACCTCGGTTTACAAACGCCTCGGTTAACGTAATTTTAGGTTTACGAATGAAAATCCATTGAAAATAATGCCTCGGTTTATGAATTTTTTTCGCAATATGGAATAATTGGTTTTCATTGCATTTATAAATTAATTTTTAATCATGTCCCTGTACAGTATTTATGCCTTTAAAGTGCACTTTATAAAGAGTTTTGAACAGAAAACTTTTTTTTTTTTTTTTTGACCTCCGGAACTGATTCATTGGTTTTCAGTGCATTCCTATGGGAAACCGCACTTTGGTTTACAAATTTTTCACAATACAAAAAGTACCGCAGAACGCACTTTAAACCAGTCATTCTCAAAAAGGGCTCCTCCAGAAGTTGCTAGGGGTTCCTTCAGCTCTGGTGGATTGACCTCCTATCAGATGGTGCCTGGATAGTTCCGGGTCTAATGCCATTCGCCAGCGCCAGGACACTAATGATATTTTTAGCTGTCTGTAAGGTGGGCATTCTGACCACCAATAGTACTTTTCCCATTGGTTCCCAACATAAGGGACGTTTTTCCTACTGGCCTCTGCTTTTAGCAGGGGTTACCTGAAAATTATTTCAAGGGTTCCTCTTGGGTAAAAAGCTGAAAAAGGTTCCTTCAAACTATAAATATTAGTACAGAACTGATAAACAGGTTAAGCACCACTGGCTCTGGTCAGCTTCCTAGTCCCACTGATCTTGCAGTAGATGTACACGGTAACTGGACGACATTTAGGGCCAGTGTTGACAGACTTTTCTTCACATCAGACCGAGTTTGCATTTCCTTTGCGTATATAGGAATGCAAAACCCACCCATAACAGGTCCAGTGCAGATCAGGAGGTCAAATGAATTCTGAATGATCTCAGAAGCATCTCATACTGATGCCATCGACACAAGCCCTTTATCTACTTCAAGGTTGGGAAACTTCGGGAGGTGGTCACTCAGAACACCAAGGTGAGAAAAGCCAGGAACCACTGAATTTACTGTAAAAGTAAAAAGTTGAGGAAATGCCGTTCAGACTCCAAAATAAAATAATGCTTGGTGGGTCAACTGATCTTTTATTATCACCACCTCAAAGTCAAGATTACCCTTCTTCTCACTTTTTTTTCTCTCTCTGTTAGTGTTTTCCGAGACACGGTGTTATGAGCCTTTTTTGGCCCATGGGAATTTCAGCACCACAGACCACCTCTTCTCTGTGGGGACCCTGGTTTCCTTCTCCTGTAACGCAGGGTACATGCTCGAACAAGGCCCGCCGGTCATAGAGTGCGTGGACCCGGCCGATCCTCACTGGAATGAGAGCGAACCGGTCTGCAAAGGTAGGAGACATCTTCTACAGGTGGATGTGCTTTTCTCCAAATGTTACTCTTTTTTTCCTTGACTAGGATGGAGAACTTGGGCACACAGGTCCCAGCGCCTAATATATATATTTACTGACCATCATACCTAAATAACCATTAATATGAATCCCCACCTTGTGATTATAACAGCATCCACTCTTCTGGGAAGGCTTTTCACAAGATTTTGGGAATTTTGTGAGGCCGGGTACTGATGTTGGATGAGATGAGAAGGACAGGCTTACAATCAGCTTTCCAATTTATCCCAACGGTGCTCAGTAGGATTGGGGTCAGAGCTCTGTGCAGGCCAGACACACCAACGGGTCCATGTCCTTATACAGCAGGCTTTGTACACACAGCCATGGTGGAACAGAAAAGGACCTTCACCAAACTTTTCCCACAAGGTTGGAAATGGACAAACGTCTAAAACGTCTTGGAATGCTGTAGTATTAACAATACCCTTTACTGGAAGCACCTGAACTCAGTCATTTGGAGGAGGTGGGGGTGGTCTACCATACTTTTGGCCATAGACAAACTGTGAAGGTCAACTGTCAAGCGGTATATACAAACGCTACATAGTAGTATACATAAGAACATCAAATTCATATAGCTACCTGATTTATTGCTCGCAGTCCTTTTAGCGGGATACTGACCCTTTTACCAGCAATATAAATGGCCAATGAAGAGGGCATGTACAAATGTGAAGCCATCAAAGTGGGAGTCAACAAACACATGAAGATGTGACAGTCACATCCAGGGGCAGACTGACCATTTGGAAACTCGGGCACTGCCTGAGGGCCCAGGGTCAGTACGGGGCCCCATGAGATGCCCCTGATACCTTTTTCATAGGCTTTTTTGAGTTTGGGCAAGGACACAGGGGCCCCATGATCCCCTATTGCCCGGGGGCCCCATGAGTTGTCAGTCCGCCCCTGGTCACATAAAAAAAAATGTTACAATGTTGACCCTTTACGGGCAATTGCCGAAAACAAAGCATCATTGAGCGACCTATGACACAATTGGTGAGCCAGTCGGTCATTTGGGATAGGCCGACCTTTATTGCCCACCGCTAGCCTGCTTTACATCTATTCCTGAGACATCTTCTCTGCACAGAGCTTTGGGGGGGGGGAGGTGCTCAGTTATATATTTGTGTTTCTCAACAATTTCTAGTTGCCATGGTAACTAATGTAGATTTCCGAATTAACCCCTTTCTCACCCTTCAGAGAAGGAAAGTCCCCAGCCTGAAACTGGCAGGATAGGAAGCGAGCGGGGGCGGCGGAGTTAAATCCAAGGCATGCTTTAAACTCATCGCATTCATTCCGCTTACGGCTGGAGTAGGTGTCACGTTTGGAGATTAGTGCGAATTAATAAACACTTTTGGATGTATTTACCGCTGAGATCTCTAAAAATACCTCGGATGGCTGATTAGCCCATGTTTGGAGGGACCTGTTCCTCCGCCATATTCACATCGCACTTCTGCGGCATCTAATGGCCATACCAAGGGAGCACCAAGGACCTTAGGTCCATCATGGGCTGTCAGAGCTTTCCTCCAAATCCCAAGGTCACCAGGTCATCACCCCTTTCTTAATTTTTATCAAATTTTTCAACACATCAATATAAATGATATGATGGAATGTTTTATCACGATAAAGATTGCAAAGCATACTCCACCATAGGAGGAGATTGTGAAGAATGTCTGGGCTTGTGACCTGTAGAGCGCACACTACAATGTGAAGCCTGCAATGCACTATGGGTAATGGACTCTCAGTCAATGGCAGGGTTCACAGTCTATAGGGCCCAGTCTAGGATGTACTGTCTGTAATGCATAGTCTATAGGGCCCAGTCTAGGATGTACTGTCTGTAATGCACAGTCTATAGGGCCCAGTCTAGGATGTACTGTCTGTAATGCACAGTCTATAGGGCCCAGTCTAGGATGTACTGTCTGTAATACACAGTCTATAGGGCCCAGTCTAGGATGTACTGTCTGTAATCCACAGTCTATAGGGCCCAGTCTAGGATGTACTGTCTGTAATGCACAGTCTATAGGGCCCAGTCTAGGATGTACTGTCTGTAATGCACAGTCTATAGGGCCCAGTCTAGGATGTACTGTCTGTAATGCACAGTCTATAGGGCCCAGTCTAGGATGTACTGTCTGTAATGCACAGTCTATAGGGTCCAGTCTAAGGTGTACTCTCTGTAATGCACAGTCTATAGGGCCCAGTCTAAGGTGTACTGTCTGTAATGCACAGTCTATAGGGCCCAGTCTAAGGTGTACTGTCTGTAATGCACAGTCTATAGGGCCCAGTCTAGGATGTACTCTCTGTAATGCACAGTCTATAGGGCCCAGTCTAAGGTGTACTGTCTGTAATGCACAGTCTATAGGGCCCAGTCTAGGATGTACTATCTGTAATGCACAGTCTATAGGGCCCAGTCTAGGATGTACTATCTGTAATGCACAGTCTATAGGGCCTAGTCTAGGATGTACTGTCTGTAATGCACAGCCTATAGGGCCCAGTCTAGGATGTACTGTCTGTAATGCACAGCCTATAGGGCCCAGTCTAGGATGTACTATCTGTAATGCACAGTCTATAGGGCCCAGTCTAGGATGTACTGTCTGTAATGCACAGTCTATAGGGCCCAGTCTAGGATGTACTGTCTGTAGTGCACAGTCTATAGGGCCCAGTCTAAGGTGTACTGTCAATTCATTCTGAATGGCCCTAGAAGCCTCTCAAACTGATGCCATCAGCACACGACCACACACCCGTCAACACAGGCCCTTATATAAGCATGTACCCAGGAAAGTCTCATTACACCTGAACTGCCATTTGGCATACATACAGGTCAGAGACTCACTCATAGTGGCCTCCTCATATAGTCCGCTTAGTCATGGTGTAGGTGGTTGGGTACCCTACAGCCATCCTATATTCTAATTACCACGTTTTCTGTTTCCCATGTCATAGCGCTGTGCGGAGGAGAGATCTCTGAGCCAGCTGGGGTAATCCTTTCTCCGGATTGGCCCCAGAATTACGCCATGGGCCAGGACTGCGTGTGGGGGATCCACGTTCAGGAGGATCGCCGGGTTCTGCTGGAGATAGAAATGTGAGCAGCAAATGTTTGTTTTATCCCATTTTATAGAGAGCCATCAGGTTGGGGCTCATTGTCTTGGGTCTCTGTACAAGAACATGCAAACTCCATGCAGACAATATTTATAATTTATAAATAGCATACTTAGCATACTTCTTACAGTATTATGGGCATATGATTCAAGGGGGATCACAGAAATTCATATTTCATATTACTGTTCACAAGGACCACTAAACAAGACAAACTTGTACCTAGGATATAATTCATGATTATTCATTTCTTTGAAATATATTTTAAAAATATCCTTCCCAAATATATTGCCATATATTTGAAATACTACAATTTTGGCCGTATTCAATATATTTAAAAAAAAAAAAAATAAAAAATAAAAATAAATTTATGTATATAAACTGGTATAGATTGTGCAAGCTGTGATCAAGTCCTCAGGGCTGAATATAAGAGGCCAGGATTATGTACCCACATGGAATAAAAATATATTTGAAATACTACAATTTTGGCCATATTCAATATATTTTATATATATATATATATATATATATATATATATACATATATGTTATATATATATATATTTATACATACTGCATGTTGAAATGCATTTTTATTACAAAATATATGAAAAGTATTTATTAAAATACATTTTTCAAATATACTGTATGGCTTTAAAAATAAAAATCTGAATTTTTGGAATGCATTTACCAATATATGTAAAAATTTATGTTTTAAAATGACTTTTTATATGTTAAAAAAAAAATCTGAAGAATATATTTAAAAATAAAATATTTTTAAAAAAAAAATATTAAATATTTTTAAAATATATTCTTCAGATTTTTTTTAACATATAAAAAATCATTTTATCATACATTTTTACATATATTTGTAAATGCCTTCCAAAAATGTAGATTTGTTTTTTTTTTAAAGACATATAGTATATTTGAAATGCAAAAGTTTGGCACCCTTAACTTAATATTTGGTTGCACACCCTTTTTTTATTACAAAATATATGAAATAATTTTTTTAAAAACACGTTTCAAATATACTGTATGTCTTTAAAAGTACAAATCTACATTTTTGGAATGCATTTACAAATATATGTAAAAATATATGTTAAAATTACTTTTTTATACGTTTAAAAAAATCTGAAGAATATGTTTTAAAAATACATTTTTTAAAAAATATATTTTTTAAACATATTCTTCAGATTTTTTTTTTTACATATAAAAGTCATTTTAACATATACTTTTACATATATTTGTAAATGCATTGTAATAAAAGCACATTTCAACATGCAGTATATATATATATATATATATATATATATATATATATATATATAAATAAATATATTTTTAAATATATTGAATACGGCTTGTAAAAATTGTAGTATTTCAAATATATTTTTATTCCATGTGGGTACATAATCCTGGCCTCTTATATTCAGCCCTGAGGACTTGATCATAGCTTGTACAATCTATACCAGCTGCTGCAGAGTGGCAGTTGATGGAAGGTGAAGGATACACAGAATGACAATAGCAGATGATTGTGGTTTTACCTCCACGACCATGGTAGAGGACACACTGAAGGCAGTAAAAGTGTCAGTCAGTCTTGTACATAGTTTCATTCTCTATCTCTGCCTTTCTAAACATTTGTACCCCAGAGGAACCCTTAAAAAAGTTTCAGGCCCCTGGGAGCCCCTGCTGAAAAAAAAATCATTGGGGGTCATTGGGAAAATGCCACTTACATCGGTGGTCAATGGGAAGCATGCCCCCCTTATATCAGTGGTCAGTGTGAAGAATGTCTCTCTTACATGGTTGGTCAGTGGGAAGAATACCCCCTTATATGGGCAGTCAATTGGAAGAATTCCTCTTTACATTGGTGGTCAGTGGAAGGAAAACCCCCTTACATTGGTGGTCAGTGGGAAGAATATTCCCTTATATTGGCAGTCAATCAGGATAATTCACCCTTACATTGGTGATCAGTGGAAGGAAAACCCCCTTATATTGGTGGTCAGAGGGAAGAATAGCCCCTTTATATTGGTGGTCAGTGGGAAGAATACCCCCCTTATATTGGTGGTCAGTGGGAAGAATAGCCCCTTTATATTGGTGGTCAGTGGGAAGAATACCACCCTTATATTGGTGGTCAATCGAAAGATATCACCCTTACATGGATGGTCAATGGAAGTAAACCCCCTACACTGGTGGTCAGTGGGAAAAATATCCCCTTATACTGGCAGTCAATCAGGATAATTCCCCCTTACACTGGTGATCAGTGGGAAGAATATCCCCTTATATTGGCAGCCAATCAGGATAATTCCCCCTTACATTGGTGGTCAGTGGAAGGAATACCCCCTTAAATTGGTGGTCAATCGGAAGAATTCACCCTTACATTGGTGGTCAGTGGAAGGAAAACCCCTTTACAATGGTTGTCAGTGGAAAGATTTCCCCCCTTATAGTGGTGGTCAGTCAAAAGAATTCTCCTTTGCCCCCTTGACCAGGAAGAATGCCCCCTTGACCAGTGGTGGTCAGAATACCACCCTGACTGGCTGCTAAAAAGACAATTGGCGCCATGTTGCCTTTGCGCAGAAACTATGCAGGCACAATCACATAGGAGGTCAATCATCCACAGCTCACGTAACCCTTAGCAAGCTCTGGAGGAACCTCAGGGATCCAAGGAACCTGGTTAAAAGTGGCTGATCTATCTTTTTGCCATGAGTCTAGGCTGGCTTTTGAAGCAGCACTTTTACCCAACTGAATAGTCACCAGTGCCATAGGGGAACTTCAGGCTACCATGCTGTAAAAGAATAGCTGTGTCAATAGGTTGCACCCCTAACAACTTTAATTGAGCAGCCCCGTCTATGGAATTCAGTGCTGTTTGTGGAATTATTTTTTGATAGCACTAGATGGTCTTATGAAAAGGATTCCGGGGAAAGTGCTGCATTCCATAGACAGAGATATTTCTACAGCTTGGACACCTTACATTTAAATACAGGTAATACACAGTATGACCCAGACCTATATTCATACAGTAGACCATCACAGACCTCTTCATTCCTTATAGTCTCAATATCAGACGGAGCGATGCCTTGACGGTATACGATGGTGATGACCTCACAGCCCGGGTCTTAGGACAGTACATGGGAGTCCATCAACGCTTCAACCTCTTCTCTTCCGCCAACGATGTGACCATCCAGTTCCAGTCTGACCCCAATGACCCAGTGTTCAGCCTGAGCCAAGGCTTCATCATCCACTTCAAAGGTAACGGGTACAATGGTTGTGGACTCTCTTAAGCACCCATAATGCTCTTGGTAGCCACTGACCATGTGATCTTAGCCTAGGCTTTAGGTCCTATGAGGGAGCTGAAAAGGAGGCTTTTTGTATTTATGGCAGGAAAGGGAAACTTCTTTACTCAAAACAATAATGTGATCTGACAATGTTGTCGTGTACCTTATTTTTTTTCCTAAAAAGTGATTTTTGTTTTCCAATAGTGTTTATTAGGTTTTTCATAAGGAATTACAAATCAGTACAGAGAAGATATACATCTATGCTCCCCCCCTCCATCCCATACAAACTGCAGCCCATTCGGGCTGGAACAGGCAATGCGCAAAATACAATGTTTCAATAAATCTCTGTTGATGGTAACCAAAGGGGTCCCTTAGGGACCTGTAGATGGAAGATGTTCAAATCCAGGGAAGGGAAAGTGGAGGCGAGTTAAAATAGAAAGGGAAGAGTAAGAAAAGAGAAAGGGGAAGTAAAGGAAAGAAAAAAGGAAGAAACAAAGGACGCATGTTGAAGAAGCGTCCCACCAACAGTTGGGTGCGGGGAGCAAGACGGTTTATGTTTATCAACATCCCATGTCAAGTATCCTCCATCCCAGGACGATGCTGAAAGATATTGCATTGAAGGCTCCCAGGTTTTTTTCAAAATATACCATCCTGTCTTGAAGAATGGCGGTCAAACGTTTGTTGATCATTATCCAGATCAACTTAGCCTTCAGAAGATCAGAACAGTACACCCAACTACCACCACCGTTACAATGCCAGGCGATGATGTCACATTACTCGATGGGTTCTCTGCAATATATCCTTGGGGAAACTTTTTGTTTCTGAGAGATATAAGAAAAATGGCAGGAGCCCACCCAAAAACTGAAATATTGGATTTGGCCTTTGGGAAGTCAAGCCTACAAAATTCTGGTCTTCCTACAAGGAGGGATTTCGGCACAACAGGGCCAGATCTCCTAAATGACAGATTTTGAGTACACCCGTCATGAGGGAAATGTGAAGGATGCCATCGCTGACCGCTTCAAAAAATGCTAGTTTCCTGGCTGCCATGCTGATGCTCTGTCTTCAATACTTAGAGGAGGCTTTCAAAGGCTTTTCCCATTCAGTACAAGGTGTGGAGGTCTTATAAACGCCCATCAGCCGACCAACTGATATCCACCTTTGTCTTGCTACCCTGTCACTCCATTGCTCCTAGACGTGTGCGGTTCTTTTTGTTCCGAATCGAAATTTGGATGACTTTTCCATTGTTCGGAGATTCAGATGTATCCGAATTCCAAATTACAATAGTAACTAATTTGAACATATCTGAAATAACAAAATGAAAAAAAGATATTGCATCCAAAGGTTCCCAGGTTTTTTTCAAAATATACCATCCTGTCTTGAAGAATGGCGGTCAAACGTTCATTGACCATTATCCAGGTCAACTTAACCTTCAGAAGATCAAGTGAAACCAAGGGGGATCGCCAAGAGCGTGCAATAGATATCCTGGCAGCAGTAAATATAAATGCGATCAGGCGTTTCACATGTCTGGGTACCCCCTCCACCGGCTTCCCCAGGAGAGCCTAGAGCAGTGATTTGGTAAGATTGACCTGAGTCAGTGAGTATATAAAGTTATATGTGCGTAAAAAGTGGTTTTTAATGACAGGTTCACTTTCAAAAGTGAATGATGGCAGTAAATTTTATGGAATTACTGGACAAGAAATTAGATGTGTACCGGTAAATATCTCCTCCTCGTCTTGAACAAAATTGAATTTCCCGTTGGCCGTCTTTTTGCAATGCACCCATATGGGTTGTCAGTTAGAGAGAGATAGTCAGAAAGCAAACAGACACACTGCCGATTTTTTCTTGGTACAAAGTCCAGCATCCTCTGCAAGCCTGACACCATGAAAGCAACCGGTGCCAAAGGTTTATTTTCAAAATAATGAAACTAAAGATATAAAAGATCAGTTCATAAACCAACAAGCATACAATTAACCAAACATGGTCATAGTTACAATAAAACCTTTCCATGCATGATTTTTTTAAAGTTTTTTTTTTATATAAAGCTACATTTCATGTATGTTTAGTGTTCATTTTAGAGTAGGCCATTGGTTTTGTTATGAAATAAAGGGGTTCTCCAGATTTTTTTTTTCTTTCTCTAGAGGTGCCCCGGAATGATACCTGCTCAGCACTGCCTGACATTCAGTCTGGCTGGAAGACGTCATCGCACCCGGATCTCATCCGCGGCACGGTCGTCACCTATCAGTGTGAACCTGGTTATGACATCATTGGCTCAGACATTCTGACCTGCCAATGGGATTTGTCCTGGAGCAATGCCCCTCCCACCTGTGAGAAGAGTGAGTCAGCATTTTCAGTTCACCTTGAGTATAATGACAGCAATTTTACCCCCTAACAGTCTGAAGGGCCTGATCAAAAAGGTTGAAAATTAGAAATTTCTTTTAGAATTCTGAGAATTTCACTTTTTTGTAAGAATGCCCCTAATATTGGTGGCCTTTTGGAGGAATGTTCCTTTCAATGATGGTCAGCTGGAAGAGTGTCTCTTACATTGGTGGTCAGGGGAAAGAATGCAGATTATAATAGCAATCAGTAGGAAGATTGTCCCTTACATTGGGGGTCAGTGGGAAGAATACACATAATATTAACTGTCAGTAGGAAGAATGTCCCTTACATTGGTGATCAGTGGGAAGAATGTCCCTTACATTGGTGGTCAGTGGGGAATAGAATGCCCTTACATTGGTGGTCAGTGGGAAGAATGCTCCTTACATTGGTGTCAATGGGAAGAATGCTCTTACATTGGTGGTCAGTGGGAAGAATGTCCTTACATTGGTGATCAGTGGGAAGAATGCTCCTTACATTGGTGATCAGTGGGAAGAATGCCCCTTACATTGGTGATCAGTGGGAAGAATGTCCCTTACATTGGTGGTCAGTGGGAAGAATGCTCCTTACATTGGTGATCAGTGGGAAGAATGTCCCTTACATTGGTGGTCAGTGGGAAGAATGTCCCTTACATTGGTGGTCAGTAGGAAGAATGTCCCTTACATTGGTGGTCAGTGGGAAGAATGTCCCTTACATTGGGGGTCAGTGGAAAGAATGTCCCTTACATTGGTAATCAGTGGAAGAATGTCCCTTACATTGGGGGTCAGTGGGAAGAATGTCCCTTACATTGGTGGTCAGTGGGAAGAATGTCCCTTACATTGGTGGTCAGTTGGAAGAATGCCTCTTAAATTGGTGGATATACATGATATTCATGCTACTAGGTCAATAATCTCTATTTTTGTCTCTAGTTCTTAACTGTGCGGACCCCGGGGAGATTGCTAACGGCATCCGCAGGGCGTTCGATCCACGGTTTTTCCTATTGGCTCTCATGTCCATTATTCCTGCAACGAGGGCTACACGCTGGAGGGCAGCGAGATCCTCACTTGTTACAACAGAGATACCGGAACCCCCAAATGGAGCGACCGCATCCCCAAATGTGTCTGTGAGTAACACCCCCATTATCCAGCATGATCTCTATCCTATTTCTATGATTTCCCATTGGTGGTAAGTTGATACAGTTATATGAAGTGCTGGGTTGTATGATAGTATAACGAAAATCTGTTTCTACTCTGTGAAAGTTCTGGGAACATTTTGGTGTGCTGGCAAGATGAATCTCATTCTATTTTCTTACATCTCTTGGAAACTTCTGTTGTAAGGTATCGCCACCAGTACACCCAACTACCACCACCCTTACAATGCCAGGCGATGATGTCACCTTACTCGATGGGTTATCTGTCCTGATGGGGTCCGTCTTGGTGCCGGGGAGAGGAACAGTACCCATGGGGTCTTTTTCCTCTTCCCAACTGGGCGTCTCTCTTTCAGAGAGCCCTCTACCATGTACTTGATGGACCAGTTTTTGGCTGGTGTTGTAGAATGTTCATATTAACTTATACACTCACCGGCCACTTTATTAGGTCCACCTTGCTAGTGCCAAGAAAATCTCCCCCACACCATGACACCACTACCACCACCAGCCTGAACTATTGATACAAGGCAGGATGGATCCACCACACCATGACACCACCACAACCACCAGCCTGAACCATTGATACAAGGCAGGATGGATCCCTCACACCATGACACCACCACCACCACCAGCCTGAACTATTGGTACAAGGAAGGATGGATCCACCACACCATGACACCACAACCACCAGCCTGAACCATTGATACAAGGCAGGATGGATCCCCCACACCATGACACCACCACCACCCCAGCCTGAACCATTGATACAAGGCAGGATGGATCCCCCACACCATGACACCACCACCCCCAGCCTGAACCATTGATACAAGGCAGGATGGATCCCCCACACCATGACACCACCACCACCACCAGCCTGAACCATTGATACAAGGCAGGATGGATCCCCCACACCATGACACCACCACTCCCAGCCGGAACCATTGATACAAGGCAGGATGGATCCACCACACCATGACACCAACACCACCAGCCTGAACCATTTCTACAAGGCAGGATGGATCCCCCACACCATGACACCACCAATACCAGCCTGAACCATTGATATAAGGCAGGATGGATCCATGCTTTCATGTTGTTTACACCAAATTTCGGACCCTCTCTCTCTGGGGGCTGGAGAAGTCCCACATTTTCCTCCTTCCAAGGTCTTTCTGCTTGTAAGTGGGCCCCTCTCCCATCTTGGACCCCTCCCAGGCTCCTGCTCTCCAGCTTCACATCCTCATCTTCCACCCAAACTCTCCTCCCAACTCTCTATCTTGCTCTCTCCCCTGCTGAACAGGCTCAGTTACTCTTAAAGGCTGTCCTAGCCCCTTGCCAAGCCTCCTGTTGGGGATATCCAGGATCTTCTCGGAGTACAAACTAACCACTCCTTCTATCTGCCCACTGCTTCTAGATATTATTTCAAAGTCCTAGAGCGGTGAGAAATTCCAGGGAGCTGATCTGCTGAGCCTCTCAGCCCTGACCCGAATTTGACCCACCTGGCTATCACACCCAGGCTGCTACTCAGCCTCTATCTAACAATTAAAGCTAGAGCTTCCCCTAGCCAACTAGGAGGGTGCTACACTTAAAAAAAGGAAAAGGATAAGTCACCCTTTGCATGATTCAGGGATATCCTCCACATCCTCCTTCACAGATGGCCTCCCATCCTCTTTCAGATTGAATAACAGAAGACATCATGCAACCCACTTCTCATGAACCCAGTCTGTCCATGACATACCTACTGGAAGGTATAATCACCCAACCTGGGCACACAGTTCAGCAATCACACTTCATTATGTGGGTGACACTCAACCCATAGTCATTGCCAGAAGAGAAGAAGAAGAACCTGAGATGTGACCAGATTGGCCAAAAGACATCAGAACTAAAGACATATGAGATTAAAAGAAAAAAATTGCAGGGTGGGGGGTTCGTGGAGGGACTATAAGGGCGGGGCTGGAGGAATGATACTGGAGTTCCGTTTAAATGACCTTTGTGAATATAAATGGTGAGATATGTTCCCAACATTCACTAGAACTGAGAAAGCCCCTTGGGTGGGTGTCAAAACATGCCTTCTACATTACAGAACATGTCAAATTGAATGCAAAGTATCTAAAAGTAGCTCTACCATGATCTGGACACATGGGAACCCTCACAGATCTACAAGATTAGGGGTTAGTGATGCGATGCAAAATTGCCGCAAAATTACAGAAACTCTAAATTGCACTCACCCCTATAGAGGACAGTATAATACCTCACATTAAAGAAGAATGTACAGACGTTCAGGCAGTATATGGCATCACCGAAAAGTCTAGGAAATCCTGAGTCATAGATAGTCGTGTCTGTGCTAAGGTCCATACAGTCGCCAACCATTGATTTAGACTGAGCTGGAAGTGACAGCTCCAACCACTCCGGTCCAACCTTCCCGTCTCTGCTCAACCAACCGAAGGTGATCCGTGTCCCACTGAGACTTGTAATACCAAAAACAAGAGTAAAGCCACTTAACTTCTAATGGTCCAAAGCAGATTTATTGATGTTATCCAATACAGGGATAGGCCTCGTCCTCTCATGCGTTTCGCTTCAGTAGGAGTTTAGTCAAGGAGACTCCATGGTAAGCAATGGATAGGTTATGTGAATATTGTACTCCCACAGGCAGGGGCGGACTGACAACTCATGGGGCCCCCGGGCAATAGGGGATCATGGGGCCCCTGTTTACTTTGCCCAAACTCAAAAAAGCCTATGAAAAAGGTACCAGGGGCATCTCATGGAGCCCCCTACTGACACAGGGCCCTCGGGCAGTGCCCGAGTTTCCAAATGGTCAGTCCACCCCTGCCCACAGGAGAAACTCACGTACCAACTCCATCGTAATGCCTATCGTAAGTTCCAGAAGGTATGGCAGGGTTGGTTGGACACACCCGGGCTCGCCCCTCCTCAATTCATAGTGGACTGACTTTTGCAGGTGTGATATTTTATATCAGGTGTGTGGCTCCACTCCTCCCCCTGGGTCAGTTCATGTACATCTCCCATTCTTTTCGATGAGACGTCTCGGGTGAACCAGAGGTTGTTGTTGATGTAGTTTTTTTTTTATTGTTTGAAGGCATGTTTTTTGGTCTTTGTTCCTTTCCCCATTTCTGATTACATCTGGACGGGAAGGAATAAAACATAAAAAAGAAAAATCAAGGTATTTTCAAGAGAGTTTTGGATCCTTGTGGTCTCTGTTTTGTTTGATTACCATTTCTGTTATTCTGTTAATTACGGGATCTGCGTATCCACGTTGTTATCACGCACCTGGTGATGGAGGCCAATGGAGAGAGGGCTTCCCTTGCGGCTAAATTCCGGACTCTCCTGAGAGTGGGACAGCGGAGAGTCAGGCCCAAAGTTGCACAGGTCGCCTGTAGGAGTGCTGGTTGGTGGTCCACTCAGAAGCACAGCTGGTGCACGGAGATAGGTCTACAGACAGGGGGCGCCTGTGCGAGGTATACAAGCCCTTCCGGGATTTAGATGTTTACTGGGTAGTCGGTTCAAGCCAAGGTCAGGTACCAGGTGGGAATCAGAGAAGACGTAGTCAGATGGGATAGCCGAGGTCATACACAGAGGAGCAAGAGAGGGTATCTGTTAGCCAAGCCGAGGTCAGATCAGGGGCAGGGGCGGACTGACAACTCATGGGGCCCCCGGGCAATAGGGGATCATGGGGCCCCTGTGTCCTTGCCCAAACTCAAAAAAGCCTATGAAAAAGGTACCAGGGGTATCTCATGGGGCCCCCTACTGACCCCGGGCCCTTGGGCAGTGCCCGAGTTTCCAAATGGTCAGTCCGCCCCTGATCAGGGGTAAATCAGAGTAGACAGGTCCAGGAGTAAGCCTAGCCAGTAACAGGAAATCACAGGTCCAAATCACAGGAAACAGGAACAGGGAACAGGGAGCTAGAGATCATCCAGCAACTTGCTGTTGCGGTGATGTCATTGTGGATTCTGCAAGTACTGTTCCATTTTCTCTATTATCTTGACAATAAAAGTTGTATGGATTAAAAAAAAAAAAAAAGAGACTCCATGACGAGGCTCCTAACAAAGTGAAATGCGTAGGGAAACAGGCAGATTACCCCTGTACTGGCTCACATCAATACATCTACTTTGGACTTGTCGAAATTGAGCAGGTCCATTGTTGTTTTTGGTGAGCTGGAACTGAGATTTCACCTGGAGGAACCTGAGTGCCGCTGCTCCCCCCCGCCGCCGCGTTCGCTGACCTCTAAAGCGTACATTATGCTCCGTCACCACCCGCATTGTCTATTTATAGATGATAACTGATCTTCTCCAGCTGGGCCAGCCATCCCCGTGACCTTGAAAAAATATGGACACTAAGGAATTTTTTTTTTTTTGGCACACGCACGCTGCATTATTTCGGTACATTCCAATGTGACTCACATGACTCTTCCGTTAGGTTTGGATGATAGCGGAAGGTTGGGGTTAAATTAAACGGATGTTCCATTCATTGTATGAGCCTTCATTGATAACTTCAAGAAGCAAAATGAAGGAGCCATCTCTTGAAGAATATTGTAGCGTTATTACCATAAAGAAATCCTGCCAACCGCGCCAAAAAATTATAGTGTGCAATCCCGGGAAAAGATCCTGCTGAATACACCAAAAAAATCATAGTGTACACTCACCCGCCTCTTTATTAGGTCCGCCTGTCCAATGGCTTGGTAATACAAATTGCTAATCAGCCATCACATGGCAGCAACTCAATGCACTTAGGTATCTAGACGTGGTGAAGACGACTTGCTGAAGTTCAAACTGAGCATCAGAATGGGGAAGAAAGGGGATTTAAGTGATTGATTCACTCTGCTATCTGGGCCCCCCTGCTGGCCAGGGCCCCGTACAAGAGAACCGGTGGCACCCCCTTATTCAGAGTCCTGATCTCAGCTTAGGCAATCTCAATGAAAAGTCTTTTGATCCTAAAAGTTGCATCTTGTTTGAAAAGTGTTAATGTTGCTGTATATTGTTGCATGAAGTGTAATGAAAGGTCCGCTTTAATTTCAGCAGATGTGAAGTGCAGTGCCTGTAGTTTGCCCTTCCATGACACAATGGCCGTAATGGCGCACACAGTGCTTAGCCAACATCTCATTTGCACTTTTATAAAACGTAATGTTGTTCATGTGGTCTATGCTGCCATCAACATAGATCAGGGGGTCTCCAAACTGCGGCCCGGGGGCCGGATGTGGCCCTTTGCTAGCCATTATCTGGGCCTTGGGGCACTATTCCTCCCACTGACACCAACAATGGGGCACTATTCCTTCCATAGAGACCAGTGATGATGTGCTATACCTCCCACTGCTACCAATGATGGGGTGCTATTCCTCTCACTGACACCAATGATGGGGCACTATTCCTCCCACTGACACCAATGATGGGGCACTATTCCTCCCACTGATACCAATGATGGGGCACTATTCCTACCACTGACACCAATGATGGGGCACTATTCCTCCCACTGATAACAATGATGGGGACACTATTCCTCCCACTGATACCAATGATGGGGCACTATTCCTCCCACTGATACCAATGATGGGGCATTATTCCTCCCACTGACACCAATGACGGGACACTATTCCTCCAGTGACACCAATGATGGGGACACCATTCCTCCCACTGATACCAATGATGGGGCATTATTCCTCCCACTGATACCAATGATGGGGCATTATTCCTCCCACTGACACCAATGATGGGACACTATTCCTCCCACTGACACCAATGATGGGGCACCATTCCTCCCACTGACACCAATGATGGGACACTATTCCTCCCACTGATACCAATGATGGGACATTATTCCTCCCACTGATACCAATGATGGGGCATTATTCCTCCCACTGACACCAATGATGGGACACTATTCATCCCACTGATACCAATGATGGGGCACCATTCCTCTCACTGACACCAATGATGGGACACTATTCCTCCCACTGACACCAATGATGGGACACCATTCCTCTACTGATACCAATGATGGGGCACTATTCCTCTACTGATACCAATGATGGGGCACTATACCTCCCCTCCCACTGACACCAATGATGGGACACTATTCCTCCCACTGACTGATACCAATGATGGGACACTATTCCTCCCACTGACACCAATGATGGGGCCACTATACCTCCCACCATGATGCACTATACCTCCCACAATGATGGGGCACACCCCACTGATACCTGGAGCCACTGATACCAAATGATGGGGCACTATTCCTCCCACTGATACCATGATGGGGATGGGATGGGGCACTATTCCTCCCACTGACACCAATGATGGGGCACTATTCCTCCCACTGACACCAATGATGGGGCACTATTCCTCCCACTGATACCAATGATGGGGCACTATACCTCCACTGTACCAATGTTGGGGCACTATTCCCCACTACCAATGATGGGGCACTATACCTCCCACTGATACCAATGATGGGGCACTATTCCTCCCACTGGTACCAATGATGGGGCACTATACCTCCCACTGGTACCAATGATGGGGCACTATTCCTCCCACTGGTACCAATGATGGGGCACTATTCCTCCACTGATACCAATGATGGGGCACTATACCTCCCACTGGTACCAATGGTGGGGCACATTCCTCACACTGATACTGGGGCACTATACCTCCCCTACAATGGTGCATTACTCTTCCTCCACTGACCACCAACCCTGAAGCCATTTGTATTCTCACTAATGCTGGGCCTGGGACATTTTCTTCCCCAGCTGACCACAATCCGGCCCCCCTAAAGTCTGAAGGACAATAAACTGGCCCATTGCTTGAAAGGTTCAATCAATTTGTGCAGCGCTTTACATATATATTGTACATTCACATCAGTCCCTAACCCTCAAGGGGTGTACAATCTAAGGTCCCTAACTCACATTCATACATACACATACTAGGGACAATTTAGACAGGAGCCAATTCACCTACCAGCATGTCTTTGGAGTGTGGGAGGAAACCAGAGCACCCGGGAGACACCCACGAAGGCACAGGGAGAACATGCAAACTCCATGCAGGTGGTGCCGTGGTTGGGATTCAAACGGACGACCCGAGTACTGCCAGGTGGAATTGCTAACCACTTAGCCACTGTGCTGCCCTGCATCTGAAGGCCTTGTATTCATTTGCTATGATATACTGTATATGAGATCGTATCTAATGTTCTGATGAATTGCAACCCTCTTTCTAGTGAAGTACGAGCCTTGCCTGAACCCCGGAGTTCCAGAGAATGGATACCAGACCCTGTACAAGCACCATTACCAGGCAGGAGAGGCTCTGCGCTTCTTCTGTTATGAAGGTTTTGAGCTCATCGGAGAAGTGACCATCATCTGCGTCCCCGGGCACCCATCCCAGTGGTCCAACCAGCCTCCTCTCTGTAAAAGTGAGTACCGCTCCACCTAGGGGGTCTAGCTTCTGCTGCATGCAGTAACGGTCCTTACAGAAATACAGAGGATGCCATTTCTGACCTGCAAATGCTAACTGTCTGGCTGACAGTGACTCAGAGAGGGCTGAATCCAGAGAACTGTCAGGCAACTGGAATTTTCAGTCTCAGGTCGGACCTGATAAACGGTCACACATGGACATGGAGGTGAAGGATCATTTGTGAAAGGATTCAGCTTATTGTGGTCAAAATGGACCATTGTATTGTAGTTGTGGGTAGAAGGAAGAGCTTGGGTTATCCTTCTACTCCCTGGTCTTTTTCAATCAGTTTCTCCTATAATTTTGACTAGTTGGCCAATAATAGTAACGGTTCTGCTCTGAAGGACACGTATTGCCTCAACCTTGAAAAATCGTATTGGATTGGATACTCATGTCTGGCCCTTTTAGCAGAGATGTGCTCGATGGTGTGACAGGCGCGGCGTCAGACCCCCAGCACTTCTCACCAACTTGTGACCGAAGGACTAGCCAATCTAAAACCGCGCTGTCATGTGCATAACAATGCCACGCTCAGCTGCACCCTGCACAAAGATTTTCCAGCTCACTGGACCACAATCTATGTACCTGCAGCCTGAGAGCGATTGTTACTGGGTCAGGTTAATTATGCAATTAACCCTTCACCCTTCACACTGCCACCACCTCCTTTTTGTACAGAGAAGGAGGAAACTCGCCAATCTTAGCAGTAACACTATGATGTTGGAATAATTGTCTGTATACCACTGTCACCGCAGGCAGAGGTATGCAGAAGTTTAAAAACACACAGTAGCGCTCTTCAGAGACAGGGATTCTTAGTTTGCATTAAAGAGCTTTAGAAACAGTTCAACACTTTTCAGAAAATAGGATTTATTACTAAAAAGGTCAAAATGGCGCAATAAAAATATTTACAGAAAAGTTGTAGTCAATATATATATAAATACAGAGAGCAATACCACAACAGAGAGATAAAGAAAGAAGTTTAAGAAGGTAGAATACTTGCAGAAGTCCTGGTTTAAGCAGCGTTCAAGTGTCCTGAACAAAAATGTACTGTTTCTCCCAAAATTGGTTCCTGATGTTAAAAGGGAGATCTCTTCATCTTATCTCTCTCAAGCCTGACAGCCTATTTTCTAGTCCACCAGCAGGGGTGTCTACTGAAGCCAAGGGCCAATCGCCTCATTTGGGGAGGGGGGTTTAGGCGGAGACCCAGGCTAGAACAAATCCCTCTTAAGTTATACCCTGGTCAACAACCTTCCATAGGTACATGTAGCATCCTATCCACTGGTAGAATAATATGCAAAATCATATTCTGAACGTCCAGACACCAAATATGACATATCTGCTTGGGACGGTTAAGGAGATATCGCTTCCTGCTCTCGGGTAGACATAATCTAGGGGTGTAAGGTATCAGGTGACTCGCATTAAACCGACTTATCTGAATTTATGTTTTGTTTTATTGTATGTATTTCCTGCGAGAAGTTATGAAATTGTATGAAAAAGTGCTTTCCAAATGAGATGCAGGTTTTACTGCTATTCTGGAATGCTTTCATGTCCAGTGACTGGCAGGTTTATAGCTTTACGAGCAGCTCAGAGCAAGAGTCTGACAGACACCCTGGCACCAGCTAATTGGGTTTACAACCCTGAAGGGTATCCAGCTGTGCCCTGTGCACTCCTGAACTCGGCACACACACGGATCACATGCCATTCAACAAAAAGGGAGGGGGGGACTGATTTGAAGTGAGAATGACACAAGATGGAGGATCTTTAGCAACATGGATGTCCGCGTCCATATCTGTACGTACAATTGCTACAGATGGAAACATTTATTTTTGGATATGTTCCTTAATAATTTTGTCAATAATTTTGTTTCAGCATGTTTGTGATGTTAGAATGATTCGTTTTTGGAATTTGTATATTTGGATTTCATTTCGCATATTCATTATATTTAAATTGATTCAAAATTTGAGTTTTGACATTCAAAATTTGAATTTTGAAAGTTGGCTATATTCATTCTATTTTATTCTATTCCACAATACTATTCTACTTTATTCTGTTCTTTTTTCTATTCTATTTTATTCTTTTATTTTCTATTCTATTCAGTTTTTTTTTCTATTATATTCCTTTCTAGTCTATTTATTTTCCATTCTATTCTGTTTTATTCTATTATATTCCTTTCTAGTCTATTTATTTTCCATTCTATTCTGTTTTATTCTATTATATTCCTTTCTAGTCTATTTATTTTTTCATTCTATTCTATTCCATAATTTTTTGTTCCATTCTATACTGTTTTATTCTATTTTTTACTATTCTGTTCTACTCTACTAATTTATTCTATTCTAGTCTGTACTTTTTGTTCTATTATATTCTACTTTTTTCTATTCTTTTATTTTCTGTTCTATTCTGTTCTATTTCTTTCTATTCTTTTTTTTTATTTTCCATTCTATTCTATTAATTTCTATTCCATTTCATTCTATTCTATTATTTTTGTTTGATTCTATACTATTCTATTCTATTGTATTATATTTTATTTGTTTTTTATTCTGTTGTATTCTACTCTGCAGCCTAAGTAAGAGTCATCATCTTATTTCCGTTTTATGCCTTACTGTACTTTATTGCAATATGTTTCGATTTCCCATTCAAATTGATTTTCGAATTCGATTTGTTTCGTTATAATTTATTTTGGATTCTTTAAAATTTGTTACTATTGCGATCCGGAAATTGGGATACAACTGAATCTCCGAAAAACTAACATTTCATCTGAATTTTGATTCGTAACAAAACTAATTGAACTTGTCCACCCTTTAGCTGCCTTTGCGTGAGTTTTCAAATTCGATTTTGTTTTCGAATTGTTTCAACAATTTGTTATTTTGGACAAAATTTCATTTTGTGATTTAGGGTTCGTAAAAAAATTCATTACTATTGTAATTTGGAAATTTGGATACATCTGAATCTCCGAATAAGGAATGGTTTAATGCAGAATGGAATGAACCGCACATGTCTGGTTTCCAATCCTCCTTTATAAGTGATCATTGAGTAATTATCAGAGGCGTCCCTAGGGTTGGTGTCACCCGGTGCGGTAACACTTGGTGACACCCCCTCTGACGATCCCCGCAGGATGGATCGGATCTGCAGATTGAGCATAATGGATCGGACACCGATCCATGCTCAATCCGCAGATCCGATCCATTCTGCGGGGATTTGTCAGCTTTCTTTACAACTTACCTTTTCGTGGAGCGGGTCCGGTGTCACCCTGTATAGGTTGCATGTCGATGATCCCTGCAGGATGGATGGGATCTGCGGATTGAGCATAATGGATCAGAGTCTGATGCATTACGCTTCCCAATCCGCAGATCTGATCCATCCTGCGGGGATCGTCGGCTTGCTTTACAACTTACCTTTTCGTGGAGCGGGTCCAGTGTCAACCCGTGCGGTTGGTGTCATCTGGTGCGCACCTGCCTCGGGACGCCACTGGTGATTATTGTCCTTCTTCCATTCAAATCTATAGAGGAAAAGAGGCAAGATTACTCACCAATAGTTTCTTCTGTGCGATTAAATTGTGGCTTTGTGCAATCGTAGGAGACTGACCACTCCATCATGCTACGGCAATTCTTTCGTGTAGCAGCTCACATTAAAGGCAATGGCATACAAGCAAAGGGATCGATCTCCTTAGATTTCAGTAGCCTGGTTGAGCTACTAATAATCGTTCATGTAGGACAAGGCCAAGGCCAAGGATAAGGCCAAGGACAAGGCCAAGGACGAGGCCAAGGACAAGGCCAAGGCCAAGGATAAGGCCAAGGACAAGGCCAAGGACGAGGCCAAGGACAAGGCCAAGGCCAAGGATAAGGCCAAGGACAAGGCCAAGGCCAAGGCCAAGGATAAGGCCAAGGACAAAGCCTGATAGATTTATACCAGTGGTGTCTAAAATATGGCCCTCCAAGGTGTTGAGGAACTGCAAGTCCCACTTCAGCAGCTGGAGGGCCATAGTTTGGACACCCCTGGTTTATACACTACTTTACATATCTGAATGCAGGTGCCCCTTTCAAATGAAGTAGGGATCACTCTGCCCCTGCTCCCTTCTAAGGAGGCACCTGTTGGCAAGCGACTTTCCCATTACAGAGACCTACATATATATAGAGACAGACTTTTAGGAGTCTTTTTATCACCTCAACTTGGTTGAATTTTTTTAGAACGTTTTGTAAAATGGGACAATATATAAAATAAGTACAAATGTTTTCTATTTCATTTTCAGTCACCTATGAGGAGCTCCTGGATGACAGGAAGTTGGAAGGTCTGACTTAGTGGAGATCTATTTAGCCATCACTTTCTGCACAAATGTTTCACCACCCTCATAACATATGCATCCCCTGTGCCATTCCATCACGCATTACTAGGAGCCACCGCTTTATTCATTATCCATCATCAAACCCCATCTCCGAGGTTCGTGGTCTGGGTCACCTCTTACCATTTCAGGTCCATTAAACGATATGCTCTTCCCCTAAGTGAGTGACTTGTCTTTGATCTTTTCCAGTTGCCCAGACAACAGACCCCTCCCACCAGATGGAGGGTGGGAACATTGCACTGGCAATCTTCTTGCCCATCATATTGGTCATCCTTCTGATTGGTGGGATATACATCTACTACACAAAGTGAGTGCACACTGGGTGGGATCGGTAACAATTATGATGGTTGTATGTATGATGATAGCTGATAGATTTGTTCACAGAGATGGAAGTCTGACCCTCACCGGTGAGAATTAACACGCATACCGTAGTTGCAGAATGTTTTCCTAGCTAATAAATCCCCCACGTTAAAATACCCTACAATCAACACTTCCCTACCTGAACTACCGTAGAACTCGCACAAAAGAGGACTTGAAAAGTATGGAGAACATAACAGGAGGAACTAGAACACACAAAGATGGACGGAACGCCCCAAATTCCCCTGGAATAGACCTGAGAATAATGGCCGGGAGATCTGACTTTTAGAGTTTACAAGATGCAAGAATCCAAGGGCTGACTCAGATTATGCTAGACTTTAGCTGTAACTAAATTGTTACTTTTGCTGAACTGGTGGACGATAATGACAGTGCTCAAGTCATCTCTGATAACTGAACGTCTCTTGTGCTTCCCTCCTCAGGTTTCAAGGAAAGTCTCTTTTTGGATTCTCCTTCCCAGCTTCCCATTCTTACAGTCCCATCACCGTGGAGTCCGATTTCAACAACCCATTATATGAGGCTGGGGTAAGTGTGACAACCCATCATCAGTGGTATAAATGGGCCCAGATTGGGAAGAGGCCTTAGCGCTAGCTCAGGAAACACTGGAGTGCTTGTATGTTCTAGCTGGCCTGGCAACATCTTGGAATCTAATAAGGCAGGAGCAATGCTAAACCCTGACATCAGGGGCATTTGTCCTGCATTTATGACTTTGTGCCCCAGGCTTCCTGTTGACTATCCCTGGTCTGCTACTGAATGCTCTGGGTCTTTTACTGAGTGCCTGTGTATTTTAAGGAGTTTCCACAGCCTTCTACTGAATGCTCTGGGTCTTCTCTGAAGTGCCTGTGTCTTTTATGGAGTTTCCCTGGCTTTCTACTGGGTGTTCTTGGTCTTCTATGGGTGTTCTGGGTCTTCTACGGTTTCCAAGATCTTCTGAGTGCTTGGGTCTTTTAATAGTTGCTCTGGATCTTTTACTTTTAACAACCCATTATAGAAGGCTAGGGTAAGTGCAACAACCTGTCAATGATGGTATAGACGGGCCCTGGGGCAGGTCAGATTGGGAAGAGGCCTTAGCACTTGCTTAGGAAACACTGGTGTGATTGTATCTCCCAACTGGCTTGAGAACACTGTGTAATCCAATAAGACAGGAGCAATGTTAAACCCTGACATCAAGGGCAATTGTCCTAGATCATTGACTTGGTTCCCCATGATTTCTGTTGACTAACCCTGGTCTTCTACTGAATGCTCTGGGTCGTTTACTAAGTGCCTGGGTCTTTTAAGGAGTTTCATGAGCCTTCTACTGAAAGCTCTGGGTCCTCTACAAAGCACCTGTGTCTTTTAAGGAGTTTCTCCAGCCTTCCACTAGGTGCTCTGGGTCTTTTCGATGGGTGTTCTGGGTCTTCTACTGTTTCCAGGATCTTCTTCTGAGTGCTTGGGTTTTTTACTAGTTGCTCTGAGTCTTTCACTCTGCTTCCAATAAGTGCCCCAGTTCTTCAAATGAGTCTCTTGGGTCTTTTTTCAATCATTCTTGCTTTCATCCAAGTGCCCCAGGTCTTCTCCTAAGGCAGGCCATATATGATAAGAGTTTCTTCCCTGGAACCACATGTTGCAGAAAAGAAAATTGATTCCCTTATCAACACTGTCAGTGTTAATGGGGAAACCCCTCCCGCTGAGCTGTTGTGTTCTAACGGCGAGGAGCCGTCCCAGGAGAACACAGTGATTACTGCGACTGGCTATAGCCACTGGAAATAATCACGTTAAAAGTTCAAAATGCTGGTTGTACCTAAGTTGATCGATGGCTCAACTTGGGTACAATCAGCCTACCCATAGATAGATCAAACTTTGGACGGTCCCTGCTGAACTGGCCGACATTTGAACCATGTATTGCTGGCTTTAGTGTCTTGGTTACTCTACTGTGTGTCCCAGGACTACTATGGAGTTCTGTGGGCCTTTTACTGAGTGTCATGGGCAGGGGCGGACTGACCATTTGGAAACTCGGGCACTGCCGAGGGCCCGGCTCAGTAGGGGGCCCCATGAGATGCCCCAGGTACCTTTTTCATAGGCTTTTTTGAGTTTGGCCAAGGATACAGGGGCCCCATGATGCCCTATTTCCCAGGGGCCCCATGATTTGTCAGTCCGCCCCTGGTCATCGGTCTTCTACGGAGTACCTTGGATCTTTTAGTGAGTGCGCTAGGTTTTCAACAGAGTACCTTGGATCTTTTAGTGAGTGCGCTAGGTCTTCTACGGAGTACCTTGGATCTTTTAGTGAGTGTGCGCCAGGTCTTCTACGGAGTACCTTGGATCTTTCAGTGAGTGCGCTAGGTCTTCTACGGAGTACCTTGGATCTTTTAGTGAGTGCGCTAGGTTTTCTACGGAGTACCTTGGATCTTTTAATGAGTGTGCGATAGGTCTTCTACGGAGTACCTTGGATCTTTCAGTGAGTGCGCTAGGTCTTCTACGGAGTACCTTGGATCTTTTAGTGAGTGTGCTAGGTCTTCTACGGAGTACCTTGGATCTTTCAGTGAGTGCACTAGGTCTTCTACGGAGTACCTTGGATCTTTTAGTGAGTGCGCTAGGTCTTCTACGGAGTACCTTGGATCTTTTAGTGAGTGCGATAGGTCTTCTACGGAGTACCTTGGCTCTTTTAGCGAGTGCGCTAGGTCTTCTAAGGAGTACCTTGGATCTTTTAGTGAGTGTGCGCTAGGTCTTCTACGGAGTACCTTGGATCTTTCAGTGAGTGCGCTAGGTCTTCTACGGAGTACCTTGGATCTTTTAGTGAGTGCGCTAGGTCTTCTACGGAGTACCTTGGATCTTTTAGTGAGTGCGATAGGTCTTCTACGGAGTACCTTGGCTCTTTTAGCGAGTGTGCTAGGTCTTCTAAGGAGTACCTTGGATCTTTTAGTGAGTGTGCGCTAGGTCTTCTACGGAGTACCTTGGATCTTTCAGTGAGTGCGCTAGGTTTTCTACAGAGTACCTTGGATCTTTTAGTGAATGCGCTAGATCTCTCTGCAGTCATTGTTGTCATTATCCCAAGTATGACAAAACTACTTCAATATTTGCTCAGCTTTGACAACCAAGGAGCAGTTGGAGCACACAAAAGTGGGTGGGAACATCTGAAACTCCAATGTGGGCAGGAACCATCAGGAAATGTCAGGGAGATTTCATGGTTGGGGGTCCCAAAAAAGAAGAAGATAGAAGTCTGCGACTTACCCCAGCTGGTTCCACCTATTACTGAAACATTCATTTTGAAAAAGGTGTGACTCACTCCAGCAGTTTTCATTTATGGCTAAATTTTGGGTGGACTCACCCTTTAACTACAGGAACTGATATGTACTGTATAAAAATTAACATACTCTAACTCGCATCTCGTCTTTTCTGTTTCAGGATACCCGGGAATACGAGGTGTCAATTTGAAGATGAACTATGGGTACAACATGGGGCGGGTGGGGTTATACATGAGGGATATTCCAGATTATACACAGACTGAGGGTCTCAATTTCCAGATCGCAATCACAAGCTGCACAGTCCCTCACCGTGCGATCGTCTGTCATGTGACCTTTCACCATCAGCCACAGAGTTCTAAACACCTGCCCTTCTCCTTAAAGGAGCCACCATCTTGGCGAAGACCATGATTGGCTCCGGCTCCTTGAAATAGCACAGGAAGCTCTTCTGACCAATTGTAAAAAAGAGAAAAAATATAAAAAATTTGCGGGAATCACTAGCTCACCAAGACAAAATCATGGACTTTTTGTCATGCTGGGTGCTGATTTCTACGAAAACTGGCCTATGACAGGCTGACCACCACCTATTCCGCCTTGCTTTACGGCAACGTGATGGAAACCCCTATGTGACGAAACCATTGTGCTTGTGTTAAACATTTTTGTAAGTGCCAAATTTAGTTCCATTTTTTTTAATATTTCGAAGCACAACTCCATCATTGGGGAGATGTGTTAGTTTTGGGCTTTTTAAAACTTTCAATTATGTTTATGGAAAAGAGTGTTGTGAAAACTTAAAAAAAAAAAAACAAAAAAAAAAAAACAATCAGGGAGATATTTGACCTGTATATATAGATAGAATTCACTGTTGTTCTCCAAGAACATGGCTGCCCTTGCCCAGCTCCAAACACGCTTGTTGGTGTCGCGTCTGTTTAAAACTCTGTGCCTTCACCCTACGATCTCTCCATCGTTCATCATGTGACCTCCCACCCTTGTCAATGTCATTTGTGCCAAAGTAATACTGCAATGTCTGTGCTCTAGAGGGAGCTACTCGAAAAACCATGAAGCCATTAAAAACCTCCAGCGCCCAAGTCCATTGGCCAGCCCCATTACCACACAGTGTTGCTCTTTTCACTGTTTCTCTGCCAGGATGGGTCAGAGAATTATCGCTCAGCTGTACAGCCTCATCACAATTCCTTTTTTTTTTTCTTCTTTTCATTAGTTGATTCAACTTTGTCCAGGAGATTAAAACATGGCCACCAAAATGGCGCTAAGAAGCGCCGGAAGAATGGGCACGTTTGAATCTCCCGCATTGTCTGTCTTCGTCACCTTTGCTTCTTGAACTTGCTTTATTTTCAGGCAATAAAGAGCGAGATTTGTAAAACATGGTCTCCTGTTATATATGTGACGTCAATATACAAGTAATGCAGAATATGTCCACGCCATGTATCACTATGACCAGTCCAGAATGTTGGTACCCACAGGGGCGGACTGACCATTTGGAAACTCGGGCACTGCCTGAGGGCCCGGGGTCAGTAGGGGGCCCCATGAGATGCCCCTGGTACATTTTTTCATAGGCTTTTTTTGAGTTTGGGCAAGGACACAGGGGCCCCATGATCCCCTATTGCCCAGGGGCCCCATGAGTTGTCAGTCCGCCCCTGGGTACCCATACTGGAAAACAATCAACCTTACTCAAAAAGGGCATCTGTAGTCCCAATTGCTAAAAGCATCGATAATTTGATAACATTTTTAAAGGGCTAGTTTGCCTTTTTCACAAAATATGAAAAGGTGACCCAACTCACAACACCCTCCTTCACACCCCCAGTTCCTTCACTGCCCATGCTAGCTGATGTAGTGCTCCTCAGTGACCTTTTTTTTCGGGACACCTCAGAGCAGTTCTCATTGGTCAGCGTGGTCATGTGCTTGCACTGACCATTAACCGCCATGATGTTACCAGCATCCAGGCTATGTACTCAATTGTTCAGATGCCTGGACAAGTACTCTGGTTGCATGGGCAGCAGGTGGTAAATCATCGAAGGAGGTAAGCATTGGCGGAGGCCAGGGGTGTGGGCAGGGGTAGCGCAGGAGTATCAAACTCAATTTCATTGTAAGCCGCATCATCAATATGGTTGCTCTCAAAGGGCTGATTGGGGTCTGTGACTTATGTATGCAGAGTTCAGGAGTATGCAGCGTACAGAGTTGCAGGGTTGAGGAGTGCGCTACCCACAGAGTGCAGGGTTGAGGAGTGCGCTACCCACAGAGTGCAGGGTTGAGGAGTGCGCTACCCACAGAGTGCAGGGTTGAGGAGTGCGCTACCCACAGAGTGCAGGGTTGAGGAGTCCTACCCACAGAAGTGCAGGGTTGAGGAGTCTTTAACAGGCTATCACACTCACCTCCACCCCTTCACTTCAGTTCTGACCTTGGAACCACTCTCCGCCATCTTCCACCTCTGCACACATCTCCCTCCACAGCCCTGTAGAGTCCAGGGGTGCGCTAAATCCAGAGCGCAGGGGTAAGCGGTGCGCTATGTCCAGAGTGCAGGGGTGAGGGGTGCGCTACGCGCAGAGTGCAGGTTTCAGGAGGGCGCTACGCGCAGAGTGCAGGTTCAGGAGGGGCTACGGCAGAGTGCAGGTTGGAGGAGGGCGCTACGCGCAGAGTGCAGGTTGGAGGAGGGCGCTACGCGCAGAGTGCAGGATTCAGCTCTCTTTCACAGGCTGTCTGCATCTGACTTCCAGGGCCCCCTGAATATGGGTGTAACATGTTATGAAAGGTGAACTTATCCTTTAATCCCTGGAGATCCTACCATGACCCTCCTGCTGAAAGCACTTCCTGTATATCTCCCAACACATTAAGCGCATGCACCGGCGTGACACCATCCCCCACCAGCCAATGAAGACTGCTGCCACCCAGCAGAAGGCGTATAGAAGATGCCGTTGAGGGACCTCAGACTGTTAAAGTAGAGGGACTTTATTTCCACTTTTTTTTTTTTTTAAGTTACTGCGTATGCACATTAATTCAAATAAGGGAGATGATGTGATCCCAAGGCATCGCCCCTGGAACAGAGGGCCAAGATGTGGGACTGTCCCAGAATATCTTGAATAATTTGTGGTCCAGTTATGGGGTGTAAGGTATGTCCCAATCTGTGCTCCCTATGTCATCCAGCCACATACACCCCTGGCAGAAACTACAAGAAGCCGCGCCAACACACATTGCTCAGACATGGTCCACCGTTGTCACCATTAGGAAACTGGTCCAAAAGCAGCCACATGCAGCCAAAGCCAGAGTCAGTGCAAGTAGACCGGAAGAGACTGAAGGAGATCAGCCATCAGTGAGATGGAAAAAAAATACCATTTAATTTTTTTTTTTTAACTTAAAAAAAACAATTAAAAATGGTGTTAAATAAGTTAAACATTTTTACATTTTTTTTAATTATTTTTAACTTAAAAAAAAAAATACAATTTAACACAAATTTAATTGCAAGTTAAAAATAATTAAAAAAAACAATTTAAAAATGTTTTAACTTATTTTTAACAAAAAAAAAAAAAAATACAAATTTAACACAATTTTTAATTTTTTTTTTTTAGTTAAAAATATTACTAAGTTAAAAAAAAAAAAAAAAAAAAAAAAAAAAAAAAAAATTACAAATGTTTTAAGTTAAACCCCCCCCCCCCCCACAATGCTTATCATATGCAGCGAGACAAAAAACTAAAGTGTTATCCAGTGAGTTCATAATCTACTTTAAATGTGTTAACCCATTCCGCCAAACAACATCCATCTTGTATTGGTCTGTCTGTGGTGGAGCGTATTCTAAATGGTTGTGTTTGGTTACTCCAAGGGCTTTTTTTTTCCCCAAGCAGAAATCACTGCCAGAACTTAATGTATGTAATGGCAAGGGTTGCTGGAGGATCTATTGTTGCTGGATGCTATGGGATCTATGGTTGCTGAAAGCGATCTATTTTTTTTTTGTGTGGTGATCTATTGTTGCTGGCGGGGGATCTATTGTTGCTGGAAGGGATCGACTGTTGAGGTAGGGGTCTGTCGATTGATGCTGGAGAGATCATTGATGCTGGCTGGTGGGAGATCTATTGTAGCTGCCAGGGGTCAATTTTTACTTGCTCCTGGGGGATCCGTTTTCTGCTTTTCTGGTCATTAACAAAATTCCCTGCAAATTATCACAAAAAAAAAAAAAAAAAAAAAAAAAAAAAAAGCCCTGGTCTCTGTTCAATAAAGCCAATAATGACTTCCAAAGAAGGATCCCCCAGGATCTGGTGCACTGAAGTCTAACATGGCCTCCAGCACCATTTGTAGCAGGGCTGTGCAACTCTTGGCCTATGGGCTGCACGTGACCCACAAGGCCACATTTAGACAATACCTATTGGCAGCAAGTGCTGGAGCACAGATCTACCGAAAGTGGGGGGTACGTCCAACATTTTGAATGGGGCACCAGAACAGGAATAGAAGGAGAAATTATTGGTTTTGGGGTCCTGATTTTGCAGAGAATTTCTTTCACTTCCTGTTGTGTTTCTGGGGCAGAAAACAAAGTTATTGGTTTTCCATGAAACAAAGATGGAAGAAACAAAAAAGCAAAACAAAAAACGTAAAACAAAAACATATAAAAAAACAAACAAACCATTGACCATCAGATATACTAAGCCAACATGCAAAGACCTTCTGCAAATTACTCACAGCAGCCAATCAGAATCCTCCTTGAGCTAATCATCTTCAGTAACATAAAACCAGATTGGTTACTCTGGCAAGTTTATGGAGTCATCCCAGGCAGTCAGAATATTCTTAAAATTGTAGAAGAAGAACCATTAAAAAGGAAGTCTTTTATTTGCCACTTTATGTAGAAATAATTAAAAAATTCAAAATGGCTCTGATTTTGGCGAGCTAGCACTCTATGGCGTACACAGCGGGAAATGGGGTGGGGGTGGGGGAGGGACTCTGCACAGAGGAGATCACTGGAGAAACATTCCCAGATTTTCATTTTTTTCCCCCATTTGTTACATAAAAGGAGATTATTTTCTCTCTCAGAATTGCACCCCTGCTCAGGCATTAATGAGAACGGGGCTGAATTCCTGTTTTGCCATCGGAGAATGGACAACGGCCGGCCGGATGGGCTGTAAGACTTTCTGGGAGTCGACGTGTCCCCGCGGCCATTTGGTTAAGAAGTTCATCCACCTGCAAGAGGTACAAGTC